ATAAAACATTTTGAAGTTAATCGATTACAAGTGTAAATAACACAATCTGAAATTGTAAATTTATATGTAGATCCACACAGTACATATTTCATGAGTTACATCCTTTCTTACATTTGAAAAGAAATTAGTTGTATAAGTGCTTAGAAATGACAATCTTGCTTAGAAAGTCAAATTTTAGCAACTTAAAAAGATGAACATTTTCAGATGAATGTTTAAACATTATTACTTGAAAATAGAATCTGAAAAGGTAGATAAGTACATTGGCCCAAATACTATGAAAGTTCAAAAGGCTGGTAATAATAAAATAATTTTAGTAAAAAGTATTTAGAACAACGAGCAAGCATCAGAATACTTTTCATCAAAAAAAGGCTAGATTTAAAAGAGGGATTAAAAACTGTTTTGCCTCAAATTACATAATTCAAAATTTGCTCAAAATTTTAAAAAAAATATTTATTTTAAGTCTTATCAATTATTTAAGAGCCATGAATTTTAACACAATAAAATATATTTTTTATTATATAACATTGAAGATAACAAGCCATTAGAGACAATTATTCATTTTTTTAAAAACATATTGCTTAAGACATATTTAAAATTTTAATAAAATACTATAAAATAAAACTCAAAGAAAACCAACAGAACGTAAAATTAAAAATTTAAAAAAAAAAATTGAATTTTGTTTTATTTGGTTAAAATCCTTATCATTTCTTGATTATTTTTTTTTCCAAATCAGCTTGTAATGGGAGCACTCTAGTAGACAATATCAATGTTGCTACACAGACTCGTTTCTATTTTTAGTTCACAAAGTTCTAATTAATATAAATAAAACAGCACCCATGTCACTATTAAATATTTCCAATGCCACTGTTACAGTAAGATTGATTAAATGCATAATTTGAATGAACACAAGAGCCAGCACTGGCTTAACTGACTTAAAATCCAAACAATGATACAGATAGATTGTCTACGTAAAGAACTCCCCATGCCATTTGTCTGGAGTAGCGGCAGAGCTATGATTACGAGGATCAACTATTTCACGTAGGAGTGTTGGGTTCTAACTTGAGACAGGTTTTGTGTCGAGTTGGCGAGAGAAAGGGAATCAGGAGAGAAAGAAGCTCCTTTCTTTGAAATGTGCCATTTGTTGTTGCCATAGCAGCAGGCGGGTTTAGATTTTGCGGCAAAGGGAGTTCGTTCTATAAACAAACTATACTCAAGATATCAAAATCAAACAGAGTTAGAAACTAAGTCTGGAAAATAAAAATAAAACATTACTTGAATGTTTCAAAAAAAGAGAAAATGTTTCTCCCTTATTCACAAAATTTAATTTAATTATTTTTGCGTTTGACTTTGCATCCTTACATAAGGATCTCCAAATTCATTAGCCCAAAAAGCAAGATTGACACTTACATGGACAACAATGTAATTAGTAATAACGATATTTAAAAGGGTAAAAGGTATCTCACAAACATTTTAAATTAAAAGGAAAAAAATCTTAATTTTTCACAAATTTTTAGGAATATTATAAGCATTTTCAAAGACATTCAGATTTTGTTATCTAATCATAATAGTATGGTACTCTAAGTAGTTAGAATCATACTGACAATTTCAAAATGTGTACAAATTCGTGTTTTTAATTAAAGTAAACGGGTGATATATCTATGATGTCGGGATGGTGTCACTTAGCACACATTTCAGATCATAAATTAAAGTTAAAATGTGTAATTTTACTTTTAACCAGTGCTTTTTTCCCCGGATTTTCTAAGATACTTTCACTTTGTACATTCAAAATAGTGGTGGAACATATCAGTTACTGGCTTTGTGATACAGTATAGCTGTTTTTTTATTGCAGCTTGGAAACATTATATATTCATTTTAAGAGTTTGCATATATAACTATACCCATTTGCATGGAAAAAGAACACTTATATTAAAATGTCTGTAATAATTTCAACAAAATAAATCTCACTTTATAATACTACAGTCTTTGTAAGTTAAATATGATTTTCATGACTAGAACTTCATGGCAGAATAAGAAATAACAAACAGGATCATTACTTAGATATTGTTTTTATTAAGTACAACTAAAATTTATTGAAATGTAAAAGAGATTGAAATATACAAGTATTAACTCATTTCAATTTAAATTACAATGAATGAGCAAGCAATAAGGAATACTTACAAATAGTATTTTAAAACATTTTTTTAAACTGAGCAGAAATATTGAGACTTCATTGAAAATAATTAAGCATACACAAATTTCTAATCTGAATGCATAAAATACCCTCCTTCCCCCTCAAAATAGTATAGCAGAATAAATGATATTAAATGTAGCAAAAAAAGTCAAAATTTCGAATTATAACAATTACTGATTTTACAAAGATTCAANATTCACAAAATTTAATTTAATTATTTTTGTGTCTTACTTTGCATCCTTATATAAGGATCTCCAAATTCATTAGCCCAAAAAGCAAGATTGACACTTCTATGGACTAAAATGCAATTAGTCACAGCGATATTTAAAAGGGTAAAAGGTATCTCACAAACATTTTAAATTAAAAGGAAAAAAATCTTCATTTTTCACAAATTTTTAGGAATATTTTAAGCATTTTCAAAGACATTCAAATTTTGTTATCTAATCATAATAGTATGGTACTCTAAGTAGTTAGACTCATACTGACAATTTCAAAATGTGCGCAAATTTGTGTTTTTAATTAAAGTAAATGGGTGATATATCTATGATGTCGGGATGGTGTCACTTAGCACACGTTTCAGATCATAAATTAAAGTTAAAATGTGTAATTTTACTTTTAACCAGTGCTTTCCCCCCCGGATTTTCTAAGATACTTTCACTTTGTAAATTCAAAATAGTGGTGGAACATATCAGTTACTGGCTTTGAGATACAGTATAGCTGTTTTTTATTGCAGCTTGGAAACATTATATATTCATTTTAAGAGTTTGCATATATAAGTATATCCATTTGCATGGAAAAAGAACACTTATATTAAAATGTCTGTAATAATTTCAACAAAATAAATCTCACTTTATAATACTACAGTCGTCGTAAGTTAAATATGATTTTCATGACTAGAATTTCATGGCAGAATAAGAAATAACCAACAGGATCATTATTTAGATATTGTTTTTATTAAGTACAACTAAAATTTATAGAAATGTAAAAGTGATAGAAATAGAGAAGTATTAACACATTTCAATTTAAATTATAATAAATGAGCAAGCAATAAGGAATACTTACAAATAGTATTTAAAAATTTTTTTTTTAAACTGAGCCGAAATATTGAGACTTTATTAAAAATAATTAAGCATACGCAAATTTCTAATCTGAATGCATAGAATACCTTCCTTCCCCCCCCCCCAAAAAAAAATAGTATAACAGAATAGATAATATTAAATGTAGCAAAAAAAGTCTAAAATTTGAATTATAACAATTACGATCTGAGAAATAAAATCTGAAGCACAAGAACTTGTTTACAATCTGGTATACAGATATAAAAATAAATAAATAAATCTACAGATATAAAAATAAATAAATAAAATTCGAAAATATTTTTTAAGGTAAATATTTAATATATAATTTCTATAGCATTTGGAGCAATAAAAAATGTACATTAACACAATTAAGAATCTGAAACACAAGATACGTGTGTTTATATTATGCTAATAAATATATATTTATAAAAATCAATCAAATTAAAAATATTTTTCTAAGGATATATATTTGGTATGCAGCATGTTACACTAGTTAATATATCTGCAAGTTAAATTGATATAAAAATCAAGCCAGTTTAAACATACTTATTAACTAGTTAATATTTCAAAAACTGCCTATTTTTTATTTATTTATTATTTTCTTTAATAATTCAATATCATCCCTTTAGAGGTTAAAAAAAACATTTCTTAAAATGATAAATACAAATTTAAAAAAAGTGGCAGATAAAAATACCAAACAACTAACAATTTTCAATAAAACTGAAAAAAAAAAACAAACAAACAAAAACAAAACAGTAATATATCTAAAATATTTGCTGGGTATCATTGAAAATCTTTTCTTCTTACAGAAGAAATAATTTCATCAAATTTTGCAACAATTTCTTACATTTTTATATATAACTATAATAACCTTATATTTGCCAAATATTCTTTAAATTGTTCAAAATATTCAGATGCTGTATTATAGAGTAAACATATAAAATTATAAATAATTACTTGAAAATTATAATAATTTTTAATAAAAAAATAAATTATATTTCATAATAAATTATATTAAAAAAATAAATTATAATTGCTCCTATTGTTTTAATTCAGGATAATAAATAATAATTTGAGTAATTAGTTTGTCCATATAAGATTGAATTATATTCCTAATTTATCAATACAATTTGAAATTTAAGAGGTAAAGTGTGCTACTTTGTATCAATAAACTGGAATTTTTTTTATTTTTTAAAAACGCCTGAAATAACAATTCCTTGTACTGAGATTAAATGTTAATTGTATCATTTCTGTTTCAAGCTATTTAACTATATCAATAAACTAGATCAACTCCTCATAATATAGTTAAATGTTATAGTTAAATGTTATACTCCTCATAATATATATATAATATTGTTATTAAATTTTCTTTTTAATTTAAAGTGTTACGAAAGTTAAAAATATAATTAAAATCAATTAGATTTGATTTGAACTTTTTGTCTGGTTCATTAATTGAAAAATTTTTTTTTTTTTTTTTTAAAAACAAATATGTAGTGTCTTTTTTAAAAGTTAAAACATGACTAGATGCAAACAGTAAAAAATTTCAACAAATATATCATGATATATTTGTTAAAATGTATTTGATGAAATCATTTCTTCTGTAAGAAGAAAAGATTTTCAAGCTATATCATGATATTTTAACAGTTTCACTCAGATGTATAATATTATTATTTAGTTTTTTCCTTTTAATTGAAAATTCCATGAAAAGTTATGAGAAAAAATAATTACCAATGATTTAAATTTTTGCCAATTTTATATCATTAAATTTGTAAAATTAACTAAAAAAGTTTTAAAAAAAACTCCATTTTAACAACTGTTTAGTAGCTTTTTTAAACAGCTAAAACATGATATGATACTATTACACGGACAATAAAAAGTTACTATAATTATAGTAAAAAAAAAAAATTATTAACATTCATCTTAAAACATGAATAACATTTGACAAAACATTTCATACCAAAGATGCTAAACAACTAGAAAATTGTATTTACGTACGTTTTCATGACCAATCAAAGCTTTCATCAGAAGGTCAAATTACTAATAGAACCAGACATCTAAGAACGTTAAATTTTGGTACATTAAAAACTCACACCATAAAAATTTCATCATTAAAATAAATTTATATAAAATAGTTTTTCTTTTTTTGATTAAATATTTGGTTCATAAATGCTTTTTAATATAAATTTTAGACAAACATTTAACATTGAAAAATGATTGTTGGGTAAAAAATTGTTTCAAGGTAAACTCATAATATCACACTGGTGACAAGGATATGTATAACATATAAAATGTTTAACAAACATATATATCCAGAGCATATTCAGAAAGATACTTATTTGACTAGATGTAATATGTCAGCAATTACAGCTCCTTTGTTGCGGTTGAGGATTTTTTTCATCTAATTGAACACCTGGAGCACCTCGACGTCGACCGGGCAGAGAACTGATGTCCACAGTTTTTTGAATACGCATCATCACCATCTCCAATAAAGTATCAAAAGCTTTGGTAACATTTTGTCCAGTTAGAGCACTGGTCTCAAAATATGGCAATCTAGAAAAAGAAATAACGTAATTAAGTTATAACATAAAATAGTCAGTGTTCCTTCTGAAATTAGGAATTTTCCCTGTACATATTATACACAATATATTAAGAGGAAACACAATTACTCTGCTCTCATATGAGCTATATTGGGCTAATTATACTAGTTTTAATTGCTAGAAAAACTTAGAGCAAAAAAAGAAAAGCTGAACTCACATAAATAATGCTATAGTAAATGAAATAGTTAAGTATAGCTGAAATATCATTCTTAAATATCACATAAATTGTAGTTAAAAACAAAGTTGTAGTTAAAATCCTTAAAAACAGAGTGGTCACCATTTTTTAAAAGACGAAAATAAGAAACGAAATTCATCGCATTTTCCCTGTTATTTTAGGTGAATTAAATTCTCTGTATTCTCCAGGTTTTTTCCTATTCCCCCTGTGGAGTGGCAACCCTAACAGTATTAAAAAATTTCCTGATTTTAAACATTTATTTTCCTGTTATATGTATCAAAATACAGTTGAACCTCAACAAAACGAACTTCATAAACACAAATTTTTTGATATTATAAAAAATTCTGAATTCTCGATACATTTGCTACGGGGCTTTTGGAGCTATTCTCATTATGCTGTGCCACACTTTTTCAACTATTTTTCACCCTCTCCCTTATTACAAAGTATAGCACTTCACCTTATCCTCTACCTTTCACTGTCATATTGAATTACATAAACATATGAAAAATACTAAAAAACATAAAATTAATTGTGTTAAAATATTTAATTAGCTGATTCCTAATTTAAACATAAATGTGAAGTGTTACACTTTTTGTAACCTACCCTCCTCATTGTCCCAATTTCTAAATCCTCCTCTCTTCTCTCTAAGTGTGACATCATTTACGGACATCCCTTATGCAGATGATTAAAAAAAAAAACAGCTCATTTAGCTGAATATATTTCTCAGTGACCTTCCATTTAATGAAATATTTTGGATCACTCAAAATGTTCTCTAACAAACTATAAATCAAATCAACTTTCTTGAATAATTTTAAGAACAATTTCTGAAAACCCCAATAAGAAAAAAAAATTGCTTGACAAATTGTCTTAAAAAGAGATTTGAGAGATGGATCTGCACATAAGAAGAATAACCACCAATAAATTTCAAAAGAACTTGCTTATTTAATAAATACAAAAGAAATTTATACCAATAAGTATATAACTACTTTCAGGGATCCTACTCAATTTCAGAAAAACAAATTCCCTGAGTTTTGCAGGTATATCAGGATTATTTCAATTAAAATCCAGACTATAATTTATCTATACCATGAAGTTATTTTATCAGAAAACTAAAATGTTTATATTTGTAATGTCAAATAAGCATTAGATTTTGCGAGCAAAAAAATATCCTTGAATGAGGATACAAGCACAGAAGTTACACTAAAATGTTAAATTTTTTACAACAAATAATTGCATTAAAAGTTAGAATTATTTAACTTGAATTTCAATAAATGATTACTGTTACTGACAGTTCTGTGACCGGTTATTTTTCAGGTATGATGTGAAAAATTTCCTGGTTTTTGGAAAAATTGGAACCTTCCCTGCTTTTAAGAGTACAAATAAAATTCTTTGACAATTATAGGTTTTCCTTGTTCTCCCTGACCCGTGGGAACACCGTACTGTAATTTTGCAGTGTGTGATGACTATCAAAATTATTTAAGGAGGCTTATAACACCGGAAGATATTTCAGAAGAGGAAGATGATGACACAGAAGAATTTCAGCTTAATATCAAATGAGGAAAAAAAGATATTCATATTATTTGAAGTACATGTATATGGTAAATAAACTTAACTCAGTGGCACAACAGCCCATAGAGGGTGTGCCCATCTCAGTTTTCTTGACCTTGGGCTCTGGGGTGCAAGGGCAGATGTTCCAGCCAGGTGGTCAGCCGAAAGCGGAACCCCCAGTGTTTAGTTCCCAAGCAAGCTTGGTACTCATTTATCGACCCACTGAAGGGATGAAAGGCTGACTCAACCTTGTCCAGCCATAGGATCGAACCCAGGACCTGTGGCAAGGAAGCGTGAAGCGCTACCACTCAGCCACCGGGCGTTACATGTATATGGTATACAACTTTTAAAATGTCACTGCAGTCATTTGTTTGACTAAATATTTAAAAATACTGAATTAAAGCACTTGATTTTCAATATCTGAAATTTTTCGTGTGAGTCTTCAAGTTTGTGATAGCGAGGTTTGATGGTATAGGTATAAATGTATAAGTCTAAGGTATTAATAATATTGCGACTCTACAAAAATTGAGGTAATGCATTGGTATAAAAACTAAGCAGATAAATAATAGTAACATTAAACTTAGTAGATACATTTTAAAAATCATCACAACAGTACAATATGAAATTTAATCTTTCAATTTCTCAGACAACTTCTTATAGTAAAATATTTCTGTTTTCATTTTTTTACCCGTTTCTATTAAAAGAGATATTAATTATAAAACTGAAAAATCAGGAAAGTTTCATGTTTTTTCATGACAGAAAAAAACTCTAAAGTCAGGTATATTTAATTTTTTCTACAAATCAAGAAAAATGGGCAACTATGCATATATTTATTTATGCTACTATGTAGTAATTTTGTGGTACAATTACTTTTTTATGACCTAATTTCAGTCACATGTTTCACTTTTATAATTTAATTTCAGTCACATTATCACAAAACAAACTTTGCTTTATTATTATGAAAAACAATGAAACATAGTGTAATTTAGTAAACTATAAAAAAAGGCTATTTGTTTTGGACATTAAGAACTCTGTTCAGGAAATAATATATAAAGGGAAGATTAAAAGCTGAAACAAAGGCTATACCTTTCTAAATAATTGTTGATTTTCTAACCAAAAATATCAAAATATAAAGCAATTTCAATAAAAATGAGTCAGTTTTGTAAAACAATATATTCTTATTTTCATAGAAGAAGCTATAAAAATTTGAACAAGTATTTTATTTTATATTTAATAACCATCCTTGAACAGCGAACCCAATTTTTGGTTTATGACTTCTAATGTTCAACTCAGTAGCCTTGTAATTTTGAGCCAATCCAGAAGACAAGGAAACTCCTAGATCAGTACCCCCAGGTATATGATTTGTTATGGGAACATGGAGGACTTTGAGACTTGATAGATTTAACGTGCATCAGTCAACATTTACTACACGGGGAGTCGTCGGTTGACGGAGATCGAACCAACGACCTCTTAGACATGGACCCAAAACCCTACCAACCAGGCTATCCCAGACCTTTGAACAAGTATTGATGAGAAGGATATTCACCCGTATTTCTCGGCTTCTTCTCTAATTTTTTCCTCTTTCATGAATCTTGTTTCTTCAAGGTCTGCCTTGTTTCCACAAAGGACAATGTCTGGATTGTCGCAATATGCATGTGTTTTCAATTGTTCCAGCCAATTGCGTACATTTAAAAACGATTGTTCGCTAGAGAGGTCAAAGAGAATAAGAAATCCCATACAATCCCTATAAAATGCAGTAGTGAGGCTTCGAAATCTGCAAAATAAGTTAATAGAAAATATTAATCAATATTTAATTAAAATCTTTATAAATGGAAAAAAATTAAGCATCTCATTATACGAATATTTATTAAAACTTTTTTAAAACACAATCACAAAAAACTAAAGCTATATGTTTGGAGGAAAATGTACATTCGCTTATCTAGCAGTTAGTAATATAATCAAAGATGGCAAAGTTTCCTTCACTGAGAAAAAAACTGTCCCTGGAATGAATAGGTTCCTTCAAACCCAAGTGTAAGAAATGGAAGCTTTTTTTCAAACAAAATATCAAAAATTAAAAAATTTAAAAAAAAAATATGAATCTTAAATGAATATTTATCAAAATTTAATGTACAAAAAACTAAAGCTATATGTTTGTATAAACTGTGTTTATAATGGTTAACATATAATGGTTTGTATAAACCAAACCATTAAATTTATTTGACAGAAAATTTTGATGCTTTCTATATGGAGCAACGTTGGTCCACCTTATATGGTGCCCCTGAAAGAGTGGCCAACAAATCTTCCCTGTAAATGCCCCAATTGATGAACACAGGTGGGCATTGGAAATTTAAAAAAAAAATATATACAGAGTATACATTTTATATACATACTACTACCTCAGAGTGGGGTAAAGTGGGTATAGTTCTAAAGTTAGTATATATTTCACTAAAAGACATATATAAATATTTCATTTACGAAGGCATAACAAGAATTTTTACAAGGGGTTCTGGTAACTATTACCAAAAAAGTGGTTTTAGTTGCACTTAAAATAACTAAATAAAAAATAATATATTCATGATTAAAAATTTCATTTAAAATTTTTTATAACTATGAAAATATGCATTTTAAGTGGGAAATATGCAAATAGAGAGTTTGTAACATATTGCAAAATTATTTACTTCAGAGATGGTTGCAAACCCGACTATTTCAAATTGTTAATTGCTTAAACATGTGCAATATTGTAAGATTCCCAAATTCAATAAAACAGGGAAACTAAATGCAATAAAAGTTTAACAAATAAAATTTTTGTTTGAAAAAAAAACAAGAAACAAATAACTAGAATTGTGAGATTAACACATTCAACAATACATAGAACCTAAATGCAATAAAAGTTTAAATAATTACTTGTTTGAAAAAAAAAAGTAGCGAATAACTAGAATTATGAGATTAACACATTCAATAAAAATTAGAAATTAAATGCTATAAAAGTTTTAATTAATTGCTTGTTTGGAAAAAAAACAAGCAACGGATAAATAGAATTATACCTTTCTTGCCCTGCTGTATCCCATAGTTGTAAATGAACTCTCTGACTACGGCCAGCAATGCCTTCTGAGTGTTGGGATCGATAAACCTGAAATGCAATGGTTATAATTAGCAATTAAGATTACAGACATTTAAATTATTAATAAATATCACCTAGTCACAACCAAAATGGAGTAAAGAATTTGCTATTAATTGAAATTTGAAGTAGAAAGTTACATATTTTGTTTGAGAAATAAAATTTTTGGTATGAAATTTGTTGAGTATTTATCATAATATAATAACAAGCATGTCACGAATTTTCCAGAAAAAAAGTTACAAAATTGAGTTTAGCACAGCCTGTGTAAGTCGACCACTTTTCTCTGGGATAACAATTTGATAGTCTATTTAAATAAAGTGGTCAAGTTATAACAGTGAAATAAATTTTTTTTTTGTCAGTTTGGTATTTGATCATTAGGATTAACTTACTAAGATGGTCAATTTAATAAATTTCACTATATGTAGTCAGACGAGTGCATTGTATTGGTTTATGTACTAACAATATTTTGATTATACAGATAGCATTTTATAAAAAAAACTAGATATATATCATTGTACAATGACAATGAATGTTTCTAATAAAATTTAAAAATATTATGACGTTTTTTCTACAAATTGAAACTTCAATGCTCTTTTATTCAAATGTATTTCAGCACTTTTTGCTGTGTAAAAATTATTAAGTATTAAATAACATATAATAAATAATTTGTGGTTGATTTAGCAATTCTAGTAAACTATATATAACAGTTACAGCTTTTAATTTTATGCAATACAGATTTGATATTTATGAATTTCATATCATAACATCAGAATAAAACTTGCATCACAACCAAATTTAAATAAAGTTAGTTTTTTTTCACCAGAGCCTCGATAAACAATAACAACAATGACTTTTTAAAAAAGTCACAAAGAATTAAACTTACAAATTTAAAATTTCATCAAATAATGTTTTAAATTACTATATTGTTTTGCAAAAAGCATAATAGTTTACTTATGTATGCCATGGTTTTGTAAGATGAAAAAAGTTTTACACATAAATATTTAACATACGTACATATTTTTTTTCACATAAAAATTGTAAAATACATTTACTCTGCATGTTAACATAAAAGGTAATAAGTTTAACATACCACATGGAATGGAAAAAAGAATTCAATTTAAGAATTAATACTGTTAATACTAATTAAGAATTAATACTAATGTAATTAATTTAAGAATTAATACATTTTTTACCTTCTTAATAGCTTTTGCAACTCGTCTAAAAAGCCTAAACAAAAAACCTTCACTTTTAATGAATTTAAAATAAATAAATTTAGATGAAAAAAATTGACAAATACTAGTATACTATGAATGAACTTAAAAACAGTAAGTATCAAGAAATAATATATTATGATCATAATTTTCTGTAGAAACGAATAATTCAGTAAAACATAATTTTAGGTACAAGTTATAAAAGTGATCTCTTATTTAAACCTTAAGTTGAACCTTTCAGTTTAATAAAATTATAATGCAGTTTTTAAAAAATAAAGCAGGCATTGAATGGGAAACAGTAGACCCTTGTAAGTTAAATAAAATAGTGATAATTAACAGAAAGAAACGTAATTATTACCTTTATTACAAGTACATGCATAACCATTAAGTGATTAAAAGATACATGTTGTGATTTAACAAATTAATCCACTTCAAATGAGCTATTTAAATATTTTTCATATGTGTTAAAAAAATTCTTTATAAAATCTAGTAATCATCCTATTACTTCTAACAATTTAAGAAAAGTTAGCCTTTTTTTGAGGGAAAAAACAAGTTAAAGAACATCTTTAGGGGTGAAAGTGCTAAGTATTGAAAATAAGATTTTCATTTTTATACATATTTGTTTTTAAAAATAAAAATTAACTTTTTTAAATTTTAAAAAAATTTAAAATTGTAATGCTTGTCAGAGTTGTAAAAAAAACTAAGCAGTATAATCCATAAAAAGATTTTTATATTAAATTCACAAATTTTGTTCCTTAGATTAAATGTTTGGTTTGTTACATTAAATATTTAATCGCTGGATAATAATATTATTAATTACATAAATAACAGTAAAATAAATATACTAGATAGATAAATTATCTTATAATTAGTAACATTAAAACACAGCTCTTTAGAAAGCAATATCAACAGACACTTTAATCTTTTTGAATCGAAATTCAGAAGACCTCAATTACAATTGCCTTAATTTCAAATACGATAGATTAAAACACAATTGAGGCAAATAATTGGAAGTGTTAGTAAGTTTTTTTTAAAAATTTTTTAACAAAAGTTATTACAATGAAGCACACAGTAACTTTTAAATGGTTTAATATAGAAATATACAGCTGAAAATGATTTTGCTTGCAAGGGTTGCAATGAATTCAGTTTCCTTGTCAGTAAGCAATAAATTATTCAATTCTTAGTACGATAAGATCAATTTGTCTTAAAAATTAAAATACAACAAATTGAGTAAATTGTTAAGTATTTGTATAATACTTTCAAGTAAAACTCAACTTTTTTACAACATGCTAACTGAAATAGTTTTTACACATATTTGTTAAGTTCTAAAACTTGTTAATTTGTGCTCTGAAAGACAATTGGAAAAGTGAAATTTGGAGAATTGAAACTAGATTACTGTGTATTGAACCATAAGTTTTTTAATGCTAATTTTTTCAACATTTTATAATTTAAAAAATTGAGAACTTTTTTGTTGTTGTTTAATTTTAGATTGCTTTCCTGTTTTAACTAAACTCTAAAATGAATCATGTTAACGGAATGTTTCGAATGTTCCCTTATTATCGCTTTTTTCTTATACGGTTAAACACATAACTAGTAACATTGAATACCATAATTCTGAACGTTAAAGTTATATTTCAGAACTAAAAACAATTTTTTGTTTGTTTTTTGCTTGATTTTTTTATAAGCTTTTTTTTATCAGCTTTTTTTTATCAGAGCTTTTATTACGAGAGAATTTTTTAAAGAGCATTTTTTACAGAGCATTTCTAATGAACATTAATCTTTCATGGTCACCTTTTTTCTAAAAATATGGCAATATGAAAAAGTTAAATTAAAATTTTAAGTATTAAATCTATCTTTTAAAAATTAAGAACGATTTTTGTTTTGGTTTCTACCAAGCTTTTTCTTTTTAAAAAAATTACGTTTTTATAGATGATTTTTTTTAATGATATGACATTTAGGAGGTTCTCTATTAGACTTCAATCTTCCCATTTTTTTGAAAATACTGTACAATTATAAAACTGAAATGCTTAGATTTAAAATTTTCTTTTAAAAAGGAAGATAGATTTTTATTTTTCCTATTTTGCTTTTGCATATAATCTTTGTTTTCATAAGCGTTTTATGATAGCGCTGCATACTTAAAAGTTTTTCTGATAGATGTTATCTCTTTAAATGTTTCATGGATAAATTTTTTTCCCCGAAAAATATTATTTTAGCAATAAAGTTTCTGTTTCAGAATTAAGAAACTATTTTTTTCCATTTCTTTTTTTCTTTCTAAATTTTTTTAATAGCTGTTAGCCAGTTTTTTCCTTATCTTAACTATTTTTAAGTATTGTAATATCTAATTATCTTTATTACCCTAAATATTTCTAATACCCTAAATATAATATTTTGTTACATTACCCTATACCAATAATCCAGCAAAGTTTTGATTATTTTTCAATAATGACTAAACTTATTTCTACATAAAATATAACTTTTTAATGATTTCTTCTTAAAAGAAAAATGATTGTATTCGGACGATTTTTTAGCCAACTATTCGGTATGTGGCTGATTTTTTTGGCCAAATATTCAGTATTCGGAAAAATCGCTATTACATCCCTACTTTATAGTTTAATTATCAGATATTATAAAATAAATTTTTTTTTTTTTTTTTTTTTGTGTTCAGGAATGACAAATAGTAGTAGTAATTTTTTCCAGTAGCAAATACAATTCCTTTTAAAAGAAATGCAAAATATAAAATTAAATTTATATTTTACAAGCAATATTTATTTTCAAAAACTAAAATAACATACAGTGGATTTAGTCGAAGTAAAGAGGTGAACAATCACAACGTATAAATGTAATTATAATATTTCTTCAAATGAAATTAATGCTATCATACTATGTGCAAAATACAGGTTTGTTTTCAAATATAAAATGTTTGGATTGTAACCAAATTTAGATAGGATTTGTGCTAAAAATTAAGAGGCCATTAAAAAAATTAGGTATTAGAATTTTCTATAATACAGAAGAAGGAATTAAAATCCTCATGTAATTGACTTAGCATTTTTTGAAAAATTTTTACTTCAAAATAACACGTTTATGACAAAATTCCTCTGTTTATAAATTATATCAATGTATGGTTGACTATGTAAAGCACAGATGGCGCTGGGGGTAAAAATTTATCCTAGGATTTCCGGGTTACTACTTTTGACCAGGGCCGGCTTATGCATGTCGCGGCCCCTAGGCAATGCTCGTCTCGCCCCCTCCCCCCCCGTCTTCTAACTTCCTAACATATTTTTTCGCTAACACAACAGTTTATTCATAATTATGCTGTTTTTTACTACATAGGTATATTATCACATTATTCAATAAAAAAATTGAATCAAACGAAAAGAATATAAGTAATTAATATATGCATTTAAAAAAAAATCATACAATAAGCTTAAATATTAACTCTTCTAACTTTTTTTGTTACAAAATCGTTCAAGACATCCTGAAAGTTAACCTTTTCCAATACATAATTTTCAATTGCCATTATGGTCAATGAATTTAAACGGTTTTGAGACATAGTTGAATGAAGACAGTTTTTAATTAATTTCAATTTGGAAAAGTTTCGTTTTTCAAGCATGTTGTGTTAAAAAAGCTGCTCTTGCTGTATAGTCATCTGATTAGTCAGTGTTAAAATTACCGCGATAAAATTGCTTGCGATTATATTACTGCGTTATACATGAACTAACTACCATAATATTAATATCTAATTTGGAATGCGTTCAGAAATGTACTAAAATAGCGTCGATGTAATGTACAGAGCAAGACAATCGTCATTGAAATTTCGAATTACATTTTTACTGTTTAAGAAACATTGTCAATTTTTTTCTCTGTAGCACAGGGCCCCTGAACGTGGCGGGGCCCCTAGGCAGTTGCCTACAGTGCCTAATGGATAAAACAGCCCTGCTTTTGACTGATTTTTACGCCTAAGCTTGAAAAAACGCACCATCCAATATTATTATACTTATATTGTCTTCTATATAATACATTCCTTCAATTTAACTTTCAATGAAACAAACAAATAAATTTGGAAAACTCTGCAAGCTTGCTATAATGCTATCTAAAAAATAACAAACAGTGCCATTTCACACAAATATGGCCAAATAAAGGATAAAACTCAAAACATGGCTAATCTTACACTTTATTTATGCTGTGATATTAATCTTGTTAAATTTGTTTTAGGCTCACGATCTGTTATAATTTATAAATTACAGAAAACTCTTATGAATGGAAAAATTATGCATAAATTTAAACACAAATCCCAAAAATAAAACTTTCTATAATATTAAGCCTCTTCACCTACGACTCATAAGCATAACATAAGCAGAGTGATACACCAGAAGTTTCTAAATTTCTTCAGGTTTTAGGAAGCTTGCTACTGTTTACATTTAGTCAACCATACATAATTAACTTATAACAGGGTGCGTAGCCAAATCTTTGAATCAAAAATAAGCACTTTTTAAAAAATTTTCAAGCACTCAAAAAATTCATATTCAATTAATGATATTATTGAAGAACAAAAACTTTTATAAACAGTTTTAGCGTTAAAAAAACCCGAAAAGAAACGGGCGTAAATCGAAACAATCAGTACTTTCCCACATCACCGAGTGAATTCTACTTGACCCAGAACTCAGAACAAAAGTACCCTTACTCCCTACGTCAAAAAAAAGTGTTAGAAGTAAAATAAAATAAACAAGAACAAAATTAAAATAAATTAAAAAGAAAAACATTTCATAAGGATCTGATATTCTCTATCCGAATTGGAGCACTCGGGTTTCGGTTTCAAGTGTGCGCGCATGCGCAAGTCATAACGTGGGTACGACATGAACAAACGATTACGTAGCAAACTCCCCATTTTTCGTGAAATGCATGGGATCCACCAGATATCACTGAAGTGGAAAAGAAAATTTTTTTTTTGGAAAAAAAGCACTTTTTAAAAACNGGACGCTGAAAAAGATTTTATAAATTGGTAGTAAAATAACAATTATAGTTGGAAATATATTTCAAAAAGTAAATTACTTAACATTTAAGAGCGGAATAAGGTGATCGTATCTACATATTTTTTTAATTGTTGATATGCATGGTAGATTGAAAAAAATTTTGAAACAATAAATTAAAAATTCAATACGTCAAAACGTTATAATGTTGCTACTACTAATAATTTTTTTTTTCTCAACGGCCATGCAAGTTGGCAGGTGTGCAAATTGTCGTTATGGTTACAACCACATTTTATTTTTATCACAGCCTCATTATAAGTACTATATATAGTATAAGGCAGGGGTGGCGAACCTTCATGCACCAACGTGCCCTTTTTTCTAAAATATATTTTAATGAGGTCATAGACGTGCCGACAAATAGTTTTGACTTTGTGATTATTGGGTAAATAATAATACTAAATTTTATCAACTCAAAACTCTTTATTTACTACGAAAAAATGTTATTCTCAACTTTTGCAATGTCTCAGCATACGCGTAATTCAACTTAAAGTAACATCAGTGTGACTTCTGTTGTTGCAGATTACATGATAAATAACTTATATTAGGGTTATAAGATATTAGTTTAAGCAGAACTGTTATATTTTTTGCTAGTTATTTATTGCTCGTTTGTTTTTTTGCGGTTATTAATTGCTTTTTTGGCTTTAATTGTTCTTTTTTTGTGAATTTTAATTGAATTGTTAATATGCTTCATAGTAAACTGTGTGATTGGTGGCGTGCCCAAAATATTGTGTCGCGTGCCACTGGTTCGCCATCCCTGCCCTATACCAATAATCTAGCTAAGTTTTAATTATTTTTCAATAATGACTAAACTTATTTCTACATAAAAATGATATTTACTAATGATTTTTTCTTAAAAGAAAAATGTTGGTATTCCGCCGATTTATTAGCCAAATATTCTGTATTCGGCTGATTTTTTTGGCCGAATATTCAGTATTCGGCCAAATCACTATTACATCCCTACTTTATTGTTTAAAACATTAGACATTATAAAATTTAACATTAGATTTTTCGTGTTCAGGAATGGCAATGTTTAGTAGTAATGTATTCCAGTAGCATGCTTGTATTCAAGTAAGCATGTAATGTATTCAAGTAGTAATGTTTTCCAGTAGCAAATACAATTCTTTTTAAAAGTAATGCAAAATATAAAATTAAATTAATATTTTACAAGTAATATTTATCTTCAAAAATTAGGTACTAAGAGTTTTCTATAATTTAGTAGAAAGAACTAAAATCCTCATGTCATTGACTTAATAGTATCTGAATAATATTGACTTAAAATGACATATTTATGCCAAATTCCTCTCTTTATAGATTATATCAATAAGTAACTTATAAATACAATTTGAATATTAGTCGTGTTAACTATAGTTTTGAGAAATTTAGGGATTAGGAAAAAGTGTACATAAACTTACAACTCTCTTCTCACTAAAATCAATGCCTACGGTGGATATAAATTTCTTGTTAAAGACTCCATTTGTATACTGACAAAGTAGACTAGTTTTACCTACTCCAGAATCGCCAAGAGCAAGGAATTTGATTAAATAATCATAATCTGCAGTGGAACTGCCAGTCACATTGCTCATCACTAACTGAGAGAGAGAGAGAGAGAAAAAATGTAACATAAATTTCAATGTTGTCATAAATGAAATAACACTAAACATAAATTTCAAAATTTTTGTTTATCGAGCATCGATTTATATAAGATATAAGAACTAATAAATTATGTACAGTATACTCTCGATATCTTGAAAACCTCAGTTACGTTAAAAAAAATATTATATTTCTCCTTGAAATTATCTATCCAACTAATGTTAATTTGAATTCCTATGTCGAAGGGTTTCTTTTCAAAACCTTGTTAAGTTGAAATTTTCAACTCCTTCTTTTTGTTATACATTATTTAAATAAATGACCAATAAAATGAAATACAAAAATGGCTGAAAAATTATATGTAGTAACAAGAAATGTGTTAACTTGCTTTTATTTTTTATTACTCATCGTCTTGTGTCCACAAAAAAAAATTTGTAATCTTTAGCTGAAGTAGGGAAAAATTTGTCCATACATCTGCCTGGGTTGGCCTTTATTTACTTAGGGGATGGAAAAGTGAGAAAAAAAGAAAACAAGTAAAAATGCTTATCGCTACATTCCACTCTATAGATGGTTTTAAAAATCAGTATAAGTATTTATTTTGAAATAGACATTTCAAAATTTAAAAAAAAAAAAATGAAGAAAAAAAGTCAGTCGAAGACAGAAAAAAGTTGATAATATCCAACTTGCTCACTTTTTTAGTTCACTATAAAAGTTGAAAACAAAACAAAAGTTGACACAAAAAATAACATTATGCGTGTATAACAAGGCACAGGACGAACATTTCGTTCACTATATCCTGAAGTTCACTATAAACCGTGTTCACTAGAGCGGGGTTTGACCGTTTAAATCGATTCTTTTCTATTTAATGCATAATTTTTTTTGTCTTACTTTTGAAAATAAAATTATAACTGTTGTATTTAGACTTGTAGTCAATCATACATATTTAATAGTAGTTATTCTTATATTTTATGACTCTACTTTTTAGAGTAGCATTTTAGAATATATTTTTCTACTTTTTAGAACATATTTAGTTTTGAAGCTCATTATTTTGAAATTTTTTTAGTGTCCCTATGACTTTGGGATATGGAGAGTATACTGTATAAATAAAAAATAACAAACTATCTATTGCTATTAAAATTAATTTATTAAAATATTTTCCTTAAAATTATTGTGTCGATAAACAATATATTATGTAATTTGATTAAATAATGACTACTTTTTTTATAACACTTTGAATCACATCAGATTCTAAATTTCTAATATTTAAAGTGTTAGCTTTTGTGGTACTCCAAATAATATATCTGATATATCATATATTTGCCCTCATGCAAGACACTACTGACTATTTTAAATTCGTATGGGCTAAAATCTCATAAATATATTAAGAATTATTATACCTCAAAAACTATTTTAATGCATTTCATTTACTATCATCATCATAGTTGGCCAGACAGCCCAATGTGGGCCATTGCTTTACTCTGAAGGTTTCTCCATAATGACTTTTGATTTATCCCTGATTCTTTTCATTAATTGCAAGAAAATCTGACTCCACTGAGTCAACCCATCTCAACCGCGGCCTGATTTCTCATTAGTTTTAAAATCCGATATTTTTTTAATCGATATTACAGTTATTTATTATGCATTTAAGTAACCCCTTTTTGAGGAGTCCGATTTGTGTGATTTTGATGTCCATCTTTTTTATTTGACAATGGATTTCATGGTCTTTAATTATTTTTTTATTGTGATGATTCTTTATAAAATGCGAAGGAAATAATTTGTGCGTTACTCTCCCCCTCAACAAAATGTAAGAATGTCACTCATAATGTTAGAATAAAAAATTATTACAGGTTTTAATTAAAAAAAATTATACATTTTTTTGTAAGTACAGCATTTTGTTAATTATTTATTACATCAAATTAGTAATTATCAATAGTTAATTGGTAGTCATTAATTAAATTAGTAGCATATATGTTTGTTATTATCAAAAGTATCTTGCAGAGAGATATTAGTGCTAGACAGTTCTGTTGCAGATAGCTCGAAAAAATTCTGCCACAGGGATTGTGTGGCAACATCAAAAGAAAAATTTTCTTCAATAATTTGTTGGAAATATTTGCTAAATCAAGTGACTAAATTTCTGTATCTATGTTAGAATAAACAATTCAGTTTAGACAATTTTAAAGTAAAGACTGTAGTTCAAAGAAACTCATTATTTATGTAACTTATTTATAAATTATATGACACAAAAAAAATTATATTACCAGATGATGTTATAAGAAAATGTAATACTATTGAACTTTCAAGAAACAAAGATCTGGATAGCTGCTAAACTTTCCTAGACTAAGAAACCACCAGAGCACAAGACCTGAAATTTAACAAATTAATTTTAGAGGAAGTACATTTAATAAAATTTTATTGTATAATATTTTAAGCAGGCCCTTGCCCAGAAGTCACCATAACTTGGCGATTATTTTGGCAAAGGGGGCGACATAAAAATCTGTCTGTAGTTATTTTTTTTATTAAATAAGCTTTTAAAGTATTCAGACAAGCTTCACTTTTGTAGCAGAGACTGCTATAAAGTCCTTAATTATATGACTTTTATAAGAATATATTTATAAAGAGATTAATAAAATCCTTGATACATATCCATTTTCAAAGCATAGGTGATAAAGTTGCCAATTAAAAAACATTAAATTCAATTGTTTTTTTTAATGAAAATAAAAGAAATTAAAAGGAAAAATAAATAAAGCAGCTAAATTTACTTGTGTCAGCAAAATGGATAAATATCACGCGGTGCAACAATAAAAAATTATCTTGTTAATATTACCATAATTATATGATTTAATGTAGGATTTCAATAAAACAACTCTATTCACATGAAATTTTATCAAAATAATGCTCATATTTTAGATACACTCCTTAATCACGCCCAAAGGATATTATTAAGTACGATTTTAAACAAATAATGCACCACGAATTACAAATAATACGAGTATTTCTCGATATTTTGAAAAACAATGCAGTTAAAGGTCGAATTTTTAAATTTATCACAACATCTGCATTGACAAATTTTTATCCCATATACCTCGTCTCAAGAATATTTGACATCAGAAACCTAATTAATTTAATTCGTTTACAAATGTTTTCACTTTCTAAATCAAAAAAAGAAAAAAACAATTTAGCCTTCACAATTAGCAAGATAAGTATTTGGGTTTCCTTTAGCCATATCCGGTATTTCCAGACAATCTTGCAAGTCGTTAACTTAAAATATAGAAATAAAATAAGTACAGAGTAAAGGAAAAAATAGGTATCTGTTTGTACAAATTAATATGGAACAAATATAAAGAATAATATAAGATTTATAATGAAAATTCACTTCAATATGCAACAGTTGTTCACGCATTTCCCAAAATACAACAGGTGGATGATGACTGTTCGAAAAACAAAACAGAAATCTGAAATAAAAAGAAGTAAACAACGTGATATTTTTCTTCTATATGTGCTGCCATCTACTAAAGAGAAGTAAAAATATAGTTGCAAACCATTAACAAAATTGAAATTATTGCTATTTTTAAACATCTCTCTCTGTTAAAAGTATTTAAATGACTATGTATTACCAGAAAGTAGTAAAATTGAATTCTTTTAACTATATATGAAAGTTAGATATAAAGTAAAATAAAAGGCAATGTTCCAGAAAAGAAAAAAAGAATAAAATAACTTATTTTAAACAATTAACGTGAAAAAAAGTAAATACTATCGCAAATAATAGATGGCGACACTATCTAAAAGTTCTTAATTTGGAGGAAGAAATTTGACCATCTTATCTTTAAAATCTTTATTTACATTTCCTAATCTTAAAATGTTTTTTAAGATTTAAATCTTGATTTAATTTGAGATATTATTACAGAGTTCAAGGTTGAAATTCTAGTTTACTCTTAGCATTTCTAGAATCTCCGGATAGACACACTCTTTCTTGTAAAATGTCTTTCATTAATATTCCTGAAAATAGTCATTTTTCCTATCAAAATCTTCCTTATGGTATATTTAGTGATCCTAATAATGTGAGTATTTAAAATAGACCATAGTTCATTGCTTTTTTAATCTCTAAATTCAATAAAAATGTGAGTTGGTTAAAAGATTGTTATCTGTAGTTCGAATGTATGTCTATAATTTATTAAAATTTTGCTGTTATTATTTTGTAGGAAAATCCTAGACCTGGTGTAGCAATTGGAGAATTTATATTAGATCTTTCAGTAGTTAAACACCTTTTTTCTGGTCCTCTATTGAAAAATAATCAATCTGTATTTCAAAAGGTATATGTTTTAAAATTCAAAACTAGATTTTTTTTTTTATTATTCTTTTAATTAAAGGAAAGAAATAAAAATAGAGAGAAATTTTACAAAATTTATTTTTTACAGGAAAGTTTGAATAGTTTTATGTCACTTGGAAGACTATGTTGGAAGGAAGCACGCCAAACGTTACAATCTATTTTATCTGCTACTAATCCCATCTTAAGAGATGACTTGCCTCTTCGAACCAGGTAATTTTAAAATAAATTCAAATTTTAAATTTAAAAAGTGTGTGCAACTTAGCAAAGTGTTTATTTAATTTAATGAATTAACTGAAATTTTATAGTTTGTACAAGTTATTTTGTTTACGCTAAGCATTGACTTTTTTTATTATTTATAAACATACAATTTATACCCCTATTTTATATATTTAGTTTTAACCAAGTATAGTTATGAAAATTGTTATATGACTTCTAATGGAGAAGAAGATCAATTTCATTTTTTTTCTAACCTTTATGTTAAGTTCAGTTTTATAAGTTTTCTATGGAATATTTGTAATTATTTGTATTTAAATTTTTTAATTATTTTTTTATAATTACAGTATTTGTAATTAAATTTAGAATATTGTTGCAAAATTCTTCTGTCAATGTGCCTGCAGTTGAATTAAATTTTGTAATGAGTTTTGAGCATAAAAAAGTGTGTTTTAGTTTAAGTGCAGTAAATCTATAGACAAAGATGTAGCTACGATTCTTTTCATGCAGTAAAGATACTCTTCGACATTTTATGGTAAAGTGAAATATGAGAATAGTGCAAAATAAATTACAAAAATTTTCATTAAAAAAATATGGACGAAGGAAATTTAAGATTTCAAAATAGAGTTCTGTACAATTTTGATTTTTTACGTTTAACATATTTGACATATTTTGTGTGAAGAAAAATAAAATAAAACAATTGAATAAAATATTTTCTTTAAAATTTCTATTACATCTTTTTTTTTTTTTTTGTTAACTATCTATGTTTTTACAGCATGATTAGTTTTGAAATCTAAACAAAATTTACATTTTGTATGAAAAAAGGAAAGAACGTTTAATTTTAATAGTGAAAATGTACCTGACTGCTTTTCTTAGGAATATTTTTGATTTTCAGTGTGTGAAATATGCTTCTAGAGTTAAGAATTTCTCTGTCTATGGACTAAGCTAAATTGTTCACTGTTGTGTATTCTATATCATAATTAAATTATTATAGCCATAAATAGTTAAACAGAATCCATCACTTAAAATATTTTGTGTTACAATTCTTTAAAAACAAAAAAATTATAAATTTGTTTTGAGTGAATTGTTATGTTTTTTAAATATAATATTTTTTACAGAGCATTTGTGCCTCAAGAAACTGCAAAGATGCACTTGCCTGCAAAAATAGGTAAAATTCACTATTACTATGATTACTAGATTAAAAACAGGTTTATTTAGTAAGGTAAAAATAAGTCTATAGTATGTGGTTAAAAATGGATTTATGAGTTATATGATTGCAAACTGGACCAAAATAGATTTAATCTCCATATTTTATTGTATTAAAAGTAAAAAGAAAAAGTTAAAAGTAACATGATTACAGTAAAAATAGACAAAGCGAGAAATAAATTTCTCTTTCATCATTATTCGTATGCGAAATTATTTATTTTATGTAAGTCAATTTTAGAATATGATAGTTTTAAAATTATACAGTTATAGTTACATTTTACACTTTTAAATTATGCAAATTAGGCATCCCTAAAAAAATTATTTTGGAACATATATGGACAGCAATAGTTCAAAATCTTCAGTGGTTTTAACTGAGACTTTCCTCAAAGAAGGTTATAAATTTTTCTCCTACCAATTGAGGAGAAAAAACAAAGAGTCTTTTTTGAGCCTTTATCAGGATTGAAATTAAACATAAATTTAATATATTGTACATATTTTACAAAGTTTTTCCTTTGAAAGCTATGCTAGGAAAACACTAGTGTTACTTGTAGTGGCAAATTTTTCAGCAGGGCAACTCTAAAAACTTTTAGGATGCTTTTTTTTACTAACATATATAAGTAATAAAAATTGTTTCTTTCTAACTGCATCTAAATTATAACCATTTTTAAAATATAGTCACTCCTATTAAATTCAATTAGTTCAATTTAATTCAACAGTTACGATAAAAAATAGCAAAGTTTATGATAAAAAGAGATTTTATTTTTTTAAAAAACAGTGGTAGTATGCCATACTCCTGATTACTATGCTTGTTACCATTTAGATTTTTGTTTACCTGATATAAGTTTCTGAATGCTTGTTTTATCATCCTAGTTTGTCTTTAAAAAAATTTCTTACAAAATTTATTCCATTTAAAGTATGTTTATTCATTTATAAGTATTTGAAAATTTTTTATTTCTCATAGAATAACTGAGATAATGCCTAAATTACATGACATGTTGGATATTATTTGGCACATAAAATATTTTAAAATCTGTTGAGCAATTTAAATCCATTGTTAATCAAACCTTATTTATTTATTCATGTATTTTTATTTATTTTTGTATTACATATGAGTAAATAAACTCTCTAATCATATTAATCTTTCTTCATTTAGGCGATTATACTGATTTTTACTCCTCTATTGAACATGCAACAAATGTGGGAATCATGTTTCGAAGTAAAGATAATGCCCTGCTGCCAAATTGGTATGCACAATTGCTATTCATTTATTTTTATTATTCTTTTTTTATTTGGCTGGAAAATAAGATTAACTTAACTTTTCTAAATTCATGAATGAAGACAAAGTTGATTGATGAAATATGTAACTTGAATTAGCGTTAACTATGTTAACACTTTTATTATTTGAAGGAATGGAATGAAGAATCCATTAATGACATATTCACTTTATTCGCCTGTGCATTGTTATATCAGGGCAGCAATTTTTATTTGTAATTTTTATTTAATGTATGGCATTATAATATTATGATTAGATATTTTGTTGAAAAGAATATTATATAGTATGCTAAGAAAGTTAAATTCTAGCTAATTTGAATTTATTTATTATAAAATATGTAAGATATAATAATATATATTATATAATATATAAGGCATATATATTAGATACTAATATATTATTAAGAAATAGTGCAAAAATTTTTATTTTCAATTTGTTTCAATGCATTATAATATTATGATTGAATATTTTGTTGAAAAGAATATTATATAGTGTGTTAAGAAAGTTAATTTCAAGTTAATTTGGATTTATTTGTTATATTATGCATTTATTTTGTATGCTCAATATATACAAATGTATATTACAAACTTTAAAACATTTCTAATGTGAATTATATTTTACAACAGTTGTAATTTGACGCCAACAGAATAGATGAGAGAGATACTAACAGATTATAAAAGTTATTTGACATAAAGTTTAACAAATTAGTTAATAAATCATAATTACTGTTTATTTGCATGAAATAAATAATAAAAATATATAGAAAAAAATAATACGAAAGTTAACTAGAAAATTTCTAAAACCATTTAAATGATTTGCCATTAATTTTAATTTGCATGAATTTGTTTATGTACAACTGCCACAAGATGAAATTTCTTCATTAATTTTCTCTTTCATAATATTTTTTTTTCAGTTTCCACTCTTTTAAACAAATTCATTAATTAAAGTTTAATCCCTATCTCTTTTTTTCTTCTTTTTTTTTACAAAGGAAATATTTGCCTGTTGGATACCATGGACGAGCATCCTCCATTGTTGTATCCGGTACTCCCATTAGAAGGCCAAATGGACAAATGAGACCAGATGATTGTAAGTAACATATCAATATCCCATTATCGATTTTTTTATTTAATTTTTAATTACTTTATATCTATAAAGATTTTAATTTTATTAAATATTATATATTTAAATTCAATAGCAAACTTTATTAAATTAAATTTTCCATTAATAAAGTATTTCAGTATTCTCCTTAAGCCTTTTAGAAGGGCAGGCTGCTCTGCCTGCCCTTTGATCCCTCTAAATGCGCCCTCTTTGCCCTTTTTGTTAAAATAAGCCACCATTCCTTAAAAAAACTGCCTTTTTATTTATATTCCATTTTGAAGAAAAATTAACTAACTGTTAAAATAATAATTACACACAAAAATTATCTGTCTTTTAAGGTTTAATTTTGATTACTATTACAAATATTTACTTTGTTAGGATTATTTTCAACTTGTTAAATTTCTCTTTTTTCAAGGGGGTGTATTAATAAATTTTTTAAATGATTTTAAATTTTAAAATTATTTTTTAAGTAATTAACTTTTTTTTAAAAATAAATGCATTTTTATATTTTAGCATGAATTATAGAAAAGATCTTTTAAGCTGTTTATCAAAAGATAATTTTATTGGTTGGTTATTTTATTCGAAAATACATAAAATCTAATGTAATTCTTAGAAAAGCAAAAGTTTTATTATATAAGTCTCTTACAAGATCAATTTCAACATATGCTTGTGAAACCTGGACCATTTCTTGTACGGATGAGGCTATGTTGGATACCTTTGATAGAAAGGTCTTGAGGAATTAAAAAAAAATGGTGTGTGGCTCAGAAGATCAAATCTAGAGCTTTATCACTCATATAATGAATGTGACATCATTAACTTTATTAAACGACAAAGAATTAAATGGGCAGGCCACGTTATCAGAATGGACAAAGACCGTACCACCAAAAGAGTTTCCAATGCCAGACCAGCTGGCACACGAAAAAGAGGCAGGCCGAATTTGAGATGGATAGATGGCCCAGAGAAAGACCTTTTGGTCTTAAAAACTTAAAACTGGTAAACACTAGCAAAAAATAAGGTTAGCCTGGAAAAAACTTCTTGAGAAGGCCTAGGCCCACCCTGGGCTGTCGAGCCATTGATGATGATGATGGTTATTTTATTCTTTGAAAAAAAATTTATACACGGAGATTGTCTCTTAGCATCCCTTTAATTATTATTTATGAACTACAAATTTTTTCTCTTATTTATATAATGAGTGAAAATTATTTTTTGAAACATACACATAAAATAGTAGAAGATGGTAACTTAAAAATTTTTTAGGATCAAATTCTATTATTGCATGATATTACGGATTTTGATCAATTTTAACGGTGTTAAGTGAGTGCCCTTTCAAATCTCGAAAGTGCCTTTTTCTGTGAGGAAGCACTCTTTCTTTTTTATTCCGAGGGAGAAGAGTATTCTAAAACTAAATGTATATGTATTATAATCTTTAATTTTTCTTTCCTTTTTATTTATTTGTTTTAAACAGGATGCGTAGCCTTTTTAAAACGTGCTTAAAGGTGCTTATTTTCGATTTTCGTTTTTTAAAAGCCCTTAAAAGTGCTTTTTTCATTGGATGTTTTTAAAAAGGGCTTAATTTTCCTTTTTCAAAATGAGATTTTTTCTTTATTATGTAGATTTTCGCTTCGAATTATGCAAAAAAAGATGCAGTTCACGTTGTTCTATTCAACGTTTTCACAATTAATTCAACCCCAACATATTTCGGCGTATTGTCAGTCCGTAGCGTATGAAAACCACATTCGTTTTACATGATTCAAAATTTCATGATTTTTGACATTTGTCAAAAATGCCAATTTTGTCAAAAACAATGCCAACACAATATTTTTTTTGACATGACGGTTAAAACAAGATAAAACCTTCAATTGTCAAAAACTTTCCAACCCTGCCTAATTATGATATTTTTTTAAAGTGCTTAAAAATATTTTTTGAATGCTTGAAAAGTGCTTAAAAGGTGCTTATTTTTTGCTAAATAATTTGACTACGCACCCTGTTAAATAAATTTCATTTCCATTTGTGAGAAAAAAAGAAAGCTTGCTTCAAACTTATTGCTTGTTTTTAAATTTAATCTTTGTTTTACAACTGATACTATTAGGTATGCGAAAATAACAATATTCGCAGATTGTTTTTAAGTTATTATTTTACGATGGACGCAAACAATTTTAGCACTTTTCTTTTCTTCCATTTAATAATTCTATGCTTTACATTTATGTGAAGAGAAAACAATGGGGTGCTCCATAATCACTATCGTAAATTATTAGAAATTTTAGAATCGTTATCAAAAGTGATGCTATTAAAGTCCACGCATTATCAGTTGGAAACTAATTTTAAACTAAAAAGATAACGGTGTTGAAATATAACGAATCACTACTGAGGGAGGGAGAACTAAAAACATCAAAACTTGTTTGTTTCTTAGAGAAACAGAGAGAAAATGTAAGGCGATCATAATTATAAAAACACATCCTTGTTTCTTCAGGCAATTAAACAAATTAATGTGTATTCAGAAACGTTTTCCTTAATAGTTCTTCGTTTGAGCCATTATGGCTTAATGGATAGAAAGTTCGCCTTCCAATGAGTTGAACCTCAGCCAAGCGATGGCTATTCGACCGTGGAGGTCTAACCGTGGGAGGTTTTCGTGGTTTTCTTCTCCATGTAACGCAAATGCGTGTCAGTTTAATCAAAAAGTCCTCCACGAAGGCAATTTTCTCCCAATACTTAATCCAGGAGTTCCCTTGTCTTCTTGATTGGGTTCAAAATTGCAAGGCTACGGAGTTGAACATTAGCAGTCGTAAATCCAAAAAAATTGGTTCGTCTGTTCATAATAGTTATTCGTTATATTATAATATAAAACAGTTAATCGCTAACATTTTTGTTTTTCAGTAGCACATCAATTTGTGACCTCTAATATTAAAGCTTTTTTCCTCTTCATTTTTGACAAGGATTGAAAAAATATATATTAAGGTTAGTCATTGCAGAAAACCCTATGTCCCAATTTGTTTCATGTTATGAGTTTCGAATAGTAAAGGTAGATAGGTAATGAAGCAATATTCTTGATTTATGTATAACATTACCATCACATTGAACTTAATAATATTAATGTATTAACCATGTTAAAAACAACAACGCAGCTGAAATGCGTTGCAACGATTTCACTATAATTCTTGCATAAATTACAGCTCAACCACCCCAGTTTGGTCCATGCAAGACTATGGATTTTGAATTAGAAATGGCTTTTTTTGTTGGCCCACCTTCACCATTGGGACATCCAATCAATATTAAGAATGCACAGGATCACATATTTGGAATGGTACTTATGAATGATTGGAGTGGTGAGTATTACTTTTTCAAATAAAAATTAGATCTGAGTGATATATCGTGAAATATCGATAATTTTCAAACGTTACGATAACAAAAATATTCTCCCCCGATATACGTATTACTGCGGTGTATTAAAATAAGGAGCAATTACACGATGATTATCGACAATCATTACATTGTGATCCTTTGTCGACAATGGTTATTATCGAATGCTATAATATCGTGGTTATCGATGAAAATATCGACCAAGATATTGTCTTGACATTTATCATTAATAATCATTTAATACGATAATATCGTGCTCAATATTAATAAGGATAAATATAAATTGCAAAAATATCGTATTTACTGTCGTTAACGATAGTTATTGTATGCGATCATTATTAAATGTCACATTACCAGGAAAATTTATAATTTCTTTTTTTTTATAACAATGACTGCAAACTTAATTGTGACTATTGCGCAGTAGTTCAAGCTCCCCGATGTAGAGTTGGGCGAAACGAATCATCAAAGTGATTCGAATCAATCGAATCAGTTCTCTTTGATGATTCAAATCAGTGATTCGAATTCTTACTGATTCAAATCAGTGAGTGGTTCGATAATGACATTGATAAAAATGAGATAAATTCTTCGTACTTGCCTTTCTGTTGAAGGCATGATTCAAAATCATCTCAATTGATTCGAATCAGTTGCAAGTTGGTTATTCGTATCAATTCTTGATCAATGGAAATTAGTAAAAAATCTTTTATCGATATTTCTTAAGCCGTGGCAGCTCAGACGATGGAGAGTTCGCCTTCTAATGAGGTGAACCGGGTTCGAATCCCAGCAATGGCTGGTCTATACCAATTCCTCACCCTGCTCACACCGACCACGGTACGGACGTAAAATATCCTAAGTGGTAGACGGATCATATGGGTTATCGGAGTCCCCTTGCCATCGGGTTAACCGTGGGAGGTTTTCTACTCCGTGTAAGGCAAATGCGGGTTGGTTCCATCAAAAAGTCCTTCACCAAGGCAAATTCTCTCAATACTTGATCCAGGAGTTTCCGGGTATTCAAAATTACAAGACTACGGAGTTGAATAATATTAGTCGTAAACTCAAAATTGGGTTGGCTGTTCAACGACGGTTATATTATCGATATTTCTTGATGCATCACGGTTTTTAAATTCTAATATCATCCAGTACACTATAATTTTTGTTCACTAACACCATTTTTCTTTTTGCGTATAGCCAGAGACATCCAAAAGTGGGAATATGTACCACTAGGACCTTTCTTGGGAAAAAATCTAGGAACAACTATCAGTCCTTGGGTAGTCCCTATGGATGCATTGGAGCCTTTTCTGTGTGATAATGTACCTCAGGATCCAGCTCCCTTTCCTTATTTGCACCACTCCCAACCATACAACTTTGATATACATTTGGAAGTGTCATTGCGCCGTAAGTAGTGTGCTTCATGTTTTTTCTATTTTTTTCTTCTTCGTAAGTAGTGTGCTTCAGTTCGTTATTTGTAATTTAAAACTTAAAAAATATCCAGGAGTATATAAATTTGAATGATTCTAACAGCCTTTTTCATACAAAAAAAAAAAATTTTTTTTAAAATTTAACCAAAATAATAAAATTTTAGAATTCAATTGAAACATTACTGTATGTTGTTAACATTCAGGAGTCTGTATAGAAGAAATTTGCACAAAATATCTTTTCATAAAAACGGACTCTTTGCAAAATATTTTAACTCAAAAACGGATCCTTCACAAAATGATTTTTCTTTTAATCGGACCCTTAACAAATTTGTTTATCTTCATTATTGTTTTGTTAATTGAATAAACCCTTCACAGGGCAGAAAACAAGAAAGATGGATGTAAACGAATTAAGTTTAGTCTTCGGCAGACGATTCTTCCATTATTCGACCGAAATGAATATTCTGCGTTCAGCAGTATAGGCTAAATACCAAATATTGCATGTTGCATCGCTAATTTTAGAAGCAGCATTTGCTGTTTATTTTTTAAAATTTAATTTTTTTATTATAATTTTACAGTGCTGAGCATAATCTCGTATCTCTTTGCAATTTAAAAACTCCTTGAAAATGTTTTTGCAATAACCGGACCCTATTTGCACAAATTCATAAGAGTAGAACCCTGGTTGAAAGAATGTGACTTAATGTTTATTTTATATTCACAAATTACGAGTAATTTTTTCACAATNTTGATGAAATATGTAACTTGAATTAGCGTTAACTATGTTAACACTTTTATTATTTGAAGGAATGGAATGAAGAATCCATTAATGACATATTCACTTTATTCGCCTGTGCATTGTTATATCAGGGCAGCAATTTTTATTTGTAATTTTTATTTAATGTATGGCATTATAATATTATGATTAGATATTTTGTTGAAAAGAATATTATATAGTATGCTAAGAAAGTTAATTCCAAGTTAATTTGAATTTATTTATTATAGAATATACAATATATATTGTATAAAATGTGTATATATATATATTATTTACTTAGTGCAGCATTTTTATTTACATTTTGTTTCAATGTATGGCATTATAATATTATCATGGAATATTTTGTTAAAAGGAATATTATATAGTATGTTAAGAAAGTTAATTTGAATTAATTTATTATAAAATATATAACATATTATAATATTTAATGCAAAATTTTTTATTTATAATTTGTTTTAGCGTATAATATTATGATTGAATATTTTGTTGGAAAGAATATTATATAAAAAGTTAAGAAGGTTAAATTCAAGTTAATTTGAATTTATTTATTATAAAATATATAAAAGATATAATAATATATATTATATAATATATAAGGTATATATATTAGATACTAATATATTATCAAGAAATATATCTATTTAGTGCAAAATTTTTTATTTATAATTTGTTTTAATGCATGGCATTAAAATATTATACTGCCATACATTAAATTTTTTGTTAGAAAGAATATTATATAATATGTTAAGAAAGTTAAATTGAATTAATTTATTATAAAATATATAACATATTATAATATTAAGTGCAAATTTTTTGATTTATAATTTGTTTTACTGTATAATATTATGATTGAATATTTTATTGGAAAGAATATTATATAATAAGTTAAAAAAGTTAAATTCAAGTTAATTTGAATTTATTTATCATAAAATATATAAAAGATATAATTATATATATTATATAATATATAAGGTATATATATTAGATACTAATATATTATCAAGAAATATATCTATTTAGTGCAAAATTTTTTATTTATAATTTGTTTTAATGTATGACATTATAATATTATGATTGAATATTTTGTTGAAAAGAATATTATATAGTGTGTTACGAAAGTTAATTTCAAGTTAATTTGCATTTATTTATTATAAAATGCATTTATTTTATATGCTTAATATATATAAATGTATTTTACAAACATTAAAATATTTCTAATGCAAATTATATTTTGCAGCAGATGCAATTTGTTGACAAACAAAATAGATGAGAATGATACTAACAGATTATAAAAGTTAATTGACATGAAGTGTAACAAAAAAGTTAATAAATCATATTTACAGTTAATTTGCATGAAATAAACAAATAAAAATATCTAGGAAAAAATAATATGAAAGTTAACTGTAAAATTTCTAAAACCATTTAAATGATTTGCCATTAATTTTAATTTGCATGGATTTGTTTATGTACAACTGCCACAAGATGAAATTTTTTCATTAATTTTAATTTTCTCTTTAATAATATTTTTTTTCAGTTTTCAACTCTTTTAAACGAATTCATTCTTTAAAGTTTCATCTCTCTCTTTTTTTTACAAAGGAAATATTTACCTGTTGGATACCATGGACGAGCATCCTCCATTGTTGTATCCGGTACTCCCATTAGAAGGCCAAATGGGCAAATGAGACCAGATGATTGTAAGATCAATATCCCATTATCGATTATTTATTTAATTTTCAATTACTTTATATCTATAAAGATTTTAGTCTTATTAAATATTATAAATTTAAATTCAATTGCAAACTTTGTTAAATTAAATTTTCCATTAATAAAGTATTCCAGTATTCTCCTTAAGTGTTTTAGAAGGGCGGGCCGCTCTTCCTGCCCTTTGATCCCACTAAATTTGCCCTCTTTGCCCTTTTTGTTAAAATAAACTACCATCCCTTAAAAACACTGCCTTTTTTATTTATATTCCATTTTTTTTTCTAAAAAATTAGCTATCTGTTAAAATAATAATTACACACAAAAATTATCTGTAAAGGTTTAATTTTGATTACTATTAGGAATATTTACTTAGTAAGGATTATTCTCAACTGGTTAAATTTCTCTTTTTTCAAGGGGGTATATTAATAAATTTTTTAAATGATTTTAAATTTTTTTTTTAAATAATTACTTTTCTTAATTTTTTTAAAAAATGCACCTTTAATATTTCAGCATGAATTATAGAAAAGATCTTTTAAGCTGTTGCTGAGATAATTTTATTGGTTGGTTATTTTATTCGAAAATGCATAAAATCTAATGTAATTCTTAGAAAAACAAAAGTTTTATTATATAAGTCTCTTACAAGATCAATTTTAACATATGCTTGTAAAACCTGGACCATATCTTGTACGGATGAGGTTATGTTGGGTACCTTTGAGAGAAAGGTCTTGAGAAGTATTTTTGGAGGAATTCAAAAAAATGGTGTGTGGCTTCGAAGATCAAATCTAGAGCTTTATCACTCATATAATGAATGTGGCATTATTAACTTTATTAAATGACAAAGAATAAAATGGGCAGGCCACGTTATCAGAATGTATGTAGACCGTACCACCAAAAGAGTTTTCAATGCCAGACCAGTTGGCACACCAAAAAGAGGCAGGCCGAATTTGAGATGGATAGATGGCCTAGAGAAAGACCTTTTGGTCTTAAAAATTAAAGATTGGAAAACACTAGCAAGAAATAAGGTTAGCCTGGAAAAAACTTCTTGAGAAGGCCTAGGCCCACCCTGGGCTGTCGAGCCATTGATGATGATGATGGTTATTTTATTCTAAAAAAATAATTTTATTCTTTGAAAAAAAATTTATGCGCGGAGATTGTCTCTTAGCATCCCTTTAATTATTATTTATAAACTACAAATTTTTTCCCTTATTTAGATAATGAGTGAAAATTAATTTTTTGAAATATGCACATAAAATAGTAAAAGATGGTAACTTAAAAATTTTTTAGGATCAAATTCAATTATTGCATGATATTACGCATTTTGATCAATTTTAACAGTGTTAAGTGAGTGCCCTTTCAAAACTCGAAAGTGCCCTTTTCTGTGAGGAAGCACCCTTTCTTTTTTATTCCTAGGGAGAAGAGTATTCTAAAACTAAATGTATGTGTATAATAATCTTTAATTTTTCTTTTCTTTTCATTTATTTGTTTCAAATAAATTTCATTTCCATATGTAAAAAAAAGAGAAAGCTTGCTTCAAACTTATTGCCTCTTTTTAAATTTAATCTTTGGTTTACAACTGATACTATTACTATTAGGTATACCAAAATCACAATATTCGCAGATTGTTTTTAAGTTATTATTTTACGATGGGCGCAAACAATTTAAGCACTTTTCTTTTCTTTTTTTCATTTAATAATTATATGCTTTACATTTATGTGAAGAGAAAACAATGGGTGCTTCATAATCACTATCCTAAATTATTAGAAATTTTAGACTCCTTATCAAAAGTGATGCCATTAAAGTTCACGCATTATCAGTCGGAAACTAATTTTAACTAAAAAGAAAACGATGTTGAAATATGATGAATCACTACTGGGGAAGGGAGAACTGAAAACATCAAAACTTGTTTGTTTCTTAGAGAAACAGAGAGAAAATGTAAGGTGATCGTATGAAACACCTTTTTTTTCTCAGGCAATTAAACAAATTTATGTGTATTCAAAAACATTTTCCTTAATAGTTATTCGTTTGAGCCGCGATGGTTTAGTGGATACAGAGTTCGCCTTCCAATGAGGTGAACCCCAGCTCAGCGATGGCTATTCGATACTAATTCCGCATCCGGCATGCACCGACCACAGTGGTGACATAAAATATCCTCAGTCGTAGGTGGGTCATGATTTAAAGTCCCCTTGCCGTCAGGCTAACCGCAGGAGGTTTTCCTCTCCGTGTAACGCAACTGCGTGTTCTTTTCATCACAAAGTCCTCCACGAAGGCAATTTTCTCCCAATACTTAATCCAGGAGTTCCCTTGTCTTCTTGATTGGGTTCAAAATTGCAAGGCTACGGAGTTGAACATTAGCAGTTGTAAATCCAAAAAAATTGGGTCGGCTGTTCATGACAGTTATTCATTATATAAAATAGTAATTGGTTATATTATAACATAAAATAGTTATTCGCTAACATTTTTGTTTTTCAGTAACACATCAATTTGTGACCTCTAATATTTAAGCTTTTTTTCTCTTCATTTTTGATAAGTATTCAAAAAATATAAATTAAGGTTAGTCATTGCAGAAAACCCTATATCCATTTTTGTTTCATGTCCTGTAGAGAACTGAAGGTAAATAGGTAATGAAACAATATTCTTGATTTATGTATACATTACCATCACTTTGAACTCATTAATATGTACATTAACTGTGTTCAACAACGCAGATGAAATAAGTTACAATTCCACTATAATTCTTGCATAAATTACAGCTCAACCACCCCAGTTTGGTCCATGCAAGACTATGGATTTTGAATTAGAAATGGCTTTTTTTGTTGGCCCACCTTCACCATTGGGACACCCAATCAATATTAAAAATGCACAGGATCACATATTTGGAATGGTACTTATGAATGACTGGAGTGGTGAGTATTACTTTTTCGAATAAAAATTAGATCTGGGGGATATATCGTGAAATATCGTTAATTTTCAAACATTACGATAACGAAAAATATTCTCCCCCGATATCAATGCGGTGTATTAAAATAAGAAGCATGATACACGATGATTATGTCCCGCAGTGGACTGGTCGTTAAGACACGGTTCCCAGCAGATCACCGAAGTCAAGCATCACTGCCTGCGGTCAGTGTGCGGGTGGGTGACCACTTGGATCAGTCTGCGTAGGGACCGAGGGTGTGCGGTATGGGTCCTCGTTAAACTGTGCTAGTGTAAAGTGCTCGACTTCGCCTGAGGTCGTTGGGCTACCGAAGTGGGGGTGCCATCCCATCCGCAGAGGATCAAAATTGTGATGGCATATCTTCGGATCATCCTCAGGGATGTTTCCCAGACCGTCGACAATAGCCCATCGTGCAGCTCTAGTTCGAAGTAAATTAACAACAACAACAACACGATGATTATCGACAATCATAATATTGTGATCCTTGTCGACGTCGATAATTATCGAATACGATAATATCGCGGCCATTTTGGATGAAAATATCAATCACGACATTGTCGTGACATTTATTGTTGATAATTATTTAATGCGGTGATATCGTGGTCAATAATAATAACGATAAATATAAATTGCAAAAATATCGTAATTATTATCGTTAACGATAGTTATTGTATGCTGATCATTATTAAATTTATTAAGAAACTTAAATGTGACGATTGCGCAGTGGTTAAAGCTTTGAGGTGTAGATTTGGGCAAAACGAATCAAAGTGATTCGAATCAATAAGAATCAGTTCTCTTTGATGATTCAAATCAGTGGTTCGAATCCTGATTGAAATCACTCATTGATTTGAATCACTTACTGATTCGAATCAGTGAGTGGTTCGATAATGAAATTGATAAAAATGATTTATCAATTATTAAATTGAATTTAAAATATATTTTTTACATTTTCTTGGAGCTATTTATATGCCTCAATATAATTTTTTTGAATTCTAAAAAAAAGCTATTATAATTATTCCTTGTATTTGCCTTTCTGTTGAAGGTATGATTCAAAATTATCTCAATTAATACAAATCAGTTGCAAGTTGGTGATTCGAATGGCCGAATCAATTCGTGATTCGAATAATCGAATCAGTACCAACTCTCTGTCCTTGTAAAGGTCAGAGCTCTATTCCGGTTTGTAACTCACCCAACTTCAGATATGATTAGATCTGGGAAATATAAGCGGTCGGTGCGAAATAGTTATCACATTGTCACCATCATGTCTTTTGGTCTCGAAATTCTGTACCCTTAACCTCCACGACTCTCTTGGCGGACATCTGGCTGATACGGGAGTAGATTAGTCTTTAAAAAAATATATTGCCCATCGTTAATAAAAAATCATATATCGATATTTCGTGAGCCATGGCAGCTCAGAAGGTAGAGCTTTCGCCTTCTAATGAGGTGACCCTGTTTCGAATCCCAGCGATGGCTGGTCGATACGAATTCCGCAACCGGCACGCACCAACCGCTGACGTGAAATATCCTCAGTGGTAAATAGATCATGGGTTAGAATCCCCTTGCCGTTGGACTAACCGTGGATTTTCGTAGTTTTCCTCTCCATGTAATGCAAATGCGGGTTAGTTCCATCAAAAAGTCATCCACGAAGAAAAATTTCTCTCAATACTTGATCCAGGAGTTCCCTTCTGCTCTGGATTGGGTTCAAAATTAGAAGGCTACAGAGTTCAAAAATAGTAGTCGTTAAGTCAAAATTGGGTCGGCTGTTCAACGACGGTTATATTATCGATATTTCTTGATGATACATCGCGATATTTAAATTGCAATGTCATCCAGTTTCCTTAAGGCCTTTTTTCTTTTTGTGTATAGCTAGAGACATCCAAAAGTGGGAATATGTACCTCTAGGACCTTTCTTAGGAAAAAATCTAGGAACAACTATCAGTCCTTGGGTAGTCCCTATGGATGCATTGGAGCCCTTTCTGTGTGATAATGTACCTCAAGATCCAGCTCCCTTTCCTTATTTGCACCACTCCCAACCATACAACTTTGATATACATTTGGAAGTGTCATTGCGCCGTAAGTAGTGTGCTTCATGTTTTTTTTTTTTTCTTCTTTTTCTTCTCTCCATACGTTCGTTATTTGTAATTTAAAGCTTAAAAAATATCCATGCAATATATAAATCTGAATGACTCTTACAGACTTTTCCATACAAAAAAAAAAAAAAAAAAAAAAAAAAAAAAAAAAAAAGCCTTTTTTAAATTTGATAAAAAAAATATTCAAAAAAAAATTTTTTTTTTTAATTATCCTTTTAAAATTTAACCAAAATAATTAAATTTTAGAATTCAATTGAAACATTACTGTACGTTGTTAACGTTATAATATTAAGATTATACTCTTAATAAAACCTATGTCTTAAAATTTAAAAAAAAATTCTTTTTATTTAAATATTGGTTTTGATTCATTTTTTTTTCCGAACTACCTTATGGTTTTTATTTCACTTATAGAAAGTGAGTACAATGCTAAATTTTTAAATTCATCAATATTTTTTTTTTTATAGAAGTGTATATATTAAAGCATACTTATATTTCTCTTTCACAGCGTCAAAGAAAGTCCACATTTTTATTCGCGTTGGCAAGGAAACAAAGAATTTAAATATCAAGTGTATGAGCTGTCATGCATCAAGTGTATGAACTGTCATGAATTACAGCATTTAATGTATAGATTTTATCTGTCGAAGATGAAGTTAAAGAAATAGATGCTTAAGGTGTTGCAAATTTATATTCAAGTAAAGGAGAAACAAAAACATTGCTAAAATTTCTCTAATTGAGAATGAAGGTGAATAAATTTAAATAATCAAAACCAGTTTGATTGCTGAGTGATACTTGAAAGTGATCTTTTTTTCACATTTCTAGTCATCACCTTTCACCATCTTCCAGTTTTCATCGGCAATCAAACATATTCCGATGTTTTAAGCTGTCGTTCCTTGTTAGGTTTCCTCGCCTAGGTTTTGATAACGTTCTTACTTTTTCGTCAAGAAGTTTTTAGGACAAAGGTAGGAATATGAAAGTAATGGTAACTAAACAATTACAGTTAATCAATTGCAGCTAATATGCTTCTTCATCACTGGCTACTGTCAGTGTGCGGGTGGGTGACCACTTGGATCAATCTACGAAGGGACCGAGGGTGTGTGGTATTGGTCCTTGTTATACTGTTCTACCGTTAAGTGCTCGACCTCGTACGCAGGTCATCGGGCTATCGAAGCGGGGGTGCCATCCCGTCCGCAAAGGATCAAAATTGTAATGGCATGTCTTTGGATCATCCTCAGGGATGTTTCCCAGACCGTCGCCAATAGCCCATTGTGCAGCTCTGGTGCGACGTAAACAAAACTACAACTACATTACTTCTTCATAATTGGAGTAGTTTTGTAATTCATTCTGGTCTTTATTTATACTTTAATATTGCATTTATAATTTATACAGTATTATTTATATTATTATTTTTATCCGTCCCTCATTTTAACATAAATGTAAAATCTCTCTCACTTCAATTTTATTTTTTTCCAGCTGAAAATTCTGATAAAGCTACAGTCATTTCCAGGTCAAATTACAAGGCAAGTTTACCAAAAATAAAATTTTTCATACCTTAAAAATTTTCTGTGCATTTAAATTTTTCTTTTCTTTTTATTCTATACATATTTTTATTATACTTTAAATTATATTTACACTTTTTTTACTTATTTTAGTTTTTTCTTCTTCTTTTGCGTTGACAGAGTGGCAGTTAAAAACGTTTTGTGTATAGCAGAGGAGGAGCCACCTTTAACTTGTAATTGCTACCCAACTTAAGAATTACTTCCAAGATTCCTTTCGGATCGTTTTACTCATTCGCTCATGTTTCTAAAGTTGACCAAATTTTATATTTTTAAATAAATTGATGATTATAGTAATTTACAAAATTGAAATCAAAGATAGCATTAAAAAAAGAAAAAGCAAAACTAGGAACATCGTCGTTTTTATTTTATGTAGATGTTTGAAAATATTTCTTAAACGAAGTTAACCAAAAAAAAAATTTGAAAACGTTACTATGTTACTGTGACTGACCGAAACTGGTGGTTATTGACTTTCACCGGTGAATGTTAACAAGCACAAAGTCGCTTTGGTAAATGTCCGAAACATGTACAGGGTATAGTTAAGTGCCATTTCCCAGTACACATTTACCCGGTATACCCTACATCAATGTTTTTTTTTTAAGGTTCAGTGCCACTGCCCGGTTTATAGTTGCCCGGTATGCCCTATATCAATTTTTTTTAAGGTTAAGTGCCACTGCCCAGCATGCATTTAACCGGTACTTCGAACACTGATATTTCTTCTAATCTATTCTTAGCAGATATGAGGGTTGCTATTTATATTTCTGGCCTAATAATGAAAAAACAAATATGTAGGATCGAAATTGGTTTTATTGTTTTCCAAAATATTCTCCATGATGATCAATACACTTTTGCATGCGTTTGAACCAATTTTCAAAGCACTTTTTCCAGTCCGATTGAGGTAACTCCAAAACATGCGTTTTGAATGCATCAACCGCTTCTTCGGGGGGCCGAAAATCGTTGTCCGCGTAATTTATTTTTGATGTGTGGGAATAAGAAGAAGTCATTGGGTGCCAAATCAGGGCTGTACGGCGGATGACCCATCAGTTCGATCTTTCGCTCCGTCAGAAATGCCTTTGTTTGAGTCGATGTGTGAGAGCTCGCATTGTCATGATGAAGAATGATTCGCCTGTTCTTCTGCTTTTTTCGAATTTCTCCGATGACTTCTGGCAAACAAATGGTCGTGTACCATTCAGAATTGACCGTCCTGCGTTGCTCTAACGCCACTGTTGCCACATGACCGTTAATGCCGAAGAAACAGGCAATCATTTGTTTCGATGTGCTTCTTCCTCGAACAACTTTTGTTGGTTTTGCCTCGTCTTGGAAGACCCATACAGTTGATTGCTGTTTTGTTTCCGGCTCATATGCATAGATCCATGATTCGTCACCTGTGTAGATGTTATACACAGCCTTTGATGTACCTTGAACGTATTTTTCCAACATTTCCTTGCACCAATCGACACGAGCCTTTTTTTGAGCGTTTGTCAGATTATGCGGGATCCAACGCGAACAAATTTTTTTTACGCTCAAATGTTCATGCAATATTTTATTGATGCTAGTCATACTAATGTCCAAAGACGCCTCTATCTCACGGTATGTCACATGACGATCTTGCTTTATCAGTTCACGCACAGCATCGATCTTTTCTGGCACAACAACGGATTTTGGACGACCTGCACGGGATTCGTCCTGGATCGAACATCGACCACGATTAAATTCGTTATACCAATTTTTTACAGTGCTGTAGGATGGCGCTTTATCGCTGAATAAAGAATTAAGTTCATCGAAGCACTCTTGTCTTGACAATCCACGTCGAAAGTTATGAAAAATAATGGCACGAAAATGTTCACGATTCAATTCCATTTTTTGAAAGAGAAGAACTTTTCAATTTACTGTCAACAACACAAATGAAGCTATAATGGTAAATCGTCTGCTGAATTTATGTTTAAAAATATCAAACTTTCGATTAAAATCGTCTGCGGTCGCCTAGCAACACTTACTGTTGCCAAGGCCAGAAATATAAATAGCAACCCTCGTATGAAAATATCGAATAAATATCATAATATCAACGAATAAATTAATATCAAATCGGATGTAACAAATATTTCGGACATTCATTTAGGGCTCTGTGATTGTTGACATTCACCGGTGAAAGTCGACATTCTCTTGAATTCGGTCATTCACGGTGTCAACTATATGCGAAATTTTATCTGTAGAAAATCAGCAAAATTAACTTTATTCTTTCTTAAAGACTGTCTTTTAAATGAATGAGAAATCTTTCGGAGAAAATTTAAAAGATTTCTTTATAATAAATTTAAAAAAAAATATTTTTAATATCTATCCCTTTACATTTCTGATAAAGTGATATATTTCTTTTTTTAATTTTTCAAAAATAATAATAATAATAATATTCGAAAAATGAAACATAAAAGTCTTACAAACGTATAACTTTCCGAAATTTAAAAAGGGTACAAAATCTCATTTGTCTTCAGTACAATAGTTCATGACTGCAAATATTATATCTCTACTGCGGCCCATTTTTCCTTTCAGCACACGGTATAAAAATCGATTCATATCGTAAACTCGAAACGTAAATCGAATGAATAGTATCTGAGATATGAGGGGATTGGATTGAAAAATTCATGGTAAATGCGATTGAAATTCGTAAATCTGTTGTGATGCATATTACACAATTCTAAATTAGTCGCTGTAACTCTTGCGAACTATCAAAAAATTATTTTAAAACTTTGTTTTAATAATATGACTTCGCCGAGAAAATTGCGTAATTCAATGAGTTAAGGCTTTATATTAGGGATACGTAAGAATTGTTTTTTTTTTTCTTTTTACAGTACATGTATTGGACCATGAAACAACAATTAACTCATCACACCATTACTGGTTGCAACTTGAACACTGGTGATCTTTTAGCAACAGGAACAATCAGTGGCAAAGTATGTTAAAAATTAATTTTAATATGTTAATTCTTTTTCTCATCTTCCTTTTATTTGATAGTAGAGAATCTGTCACCATAAATAATTATTATGTTTATTATTACAAATAGACCTGTAATTTCCGTTATTGATTAATTTTGTTTATTGGAAAAATAGTTTTATTATTTGCACTAAATGTAATTTTTGAGTTAGAGTTGTTATTGTAATTAGGTGAGAATTATAGAGAAAGAAATTGAGAAAAGCGGTTTGATTGCCGGAATACAAAAACAGGTTTGATTGCCGGATAAAACTCCGTGTAAGACCACTCTTAACAGATTGTGATGATTTTAATTTCACATTCCAAGGTCAGCAGAATATGACAGTCATATTTTTTTCCACCTTTAGGTGTTAATATGTGACCCCTTGTACAATTGATTAATTCCATTTTTGATAAGAATTCTAAAATCGTTCGAGAGGGATGGTCATTCCAGAACACTCCTTATTCTCCTCTTCGTTCTGAGACGTAAAAGTATGAGGGTCGGTATTTTTAAGTATTGCTTTCTCCGAATTTATTTATATTAGTCTTCTTGCTGCCAGGCTAACCGTGGGAAGTTTTCATGCTTTTCCTCTCCATATAGCGCAAATGCGGGTTAGCTACATTAAAAATTCCTCCACGAAGGCAAATTTCTCCCAATACTTTACCCCCGATGCCTGATTCCCTTGTTTTCGGGATTGGGGTCAAAATTGCAAGGCTACGGAATTGAACATTGGTAGTAGTAAACCCAAAATTGGGTCTGCTGTTCAACGACTGTTATAATATATGAAATTTATTTATATTGATCCGTGGTGGTGACCCGAGTTTGAATTCCAGCGGTGGCTGGTTGATACAGATTCCGCACCCGACTCGCACCAACCACGGTACTAACGTTTAATACCGTCTATGGCAGTGTTCCTTAACCTTTTTGATATAATGGACCCCTTTTAAAAGTTTTCAAGAAGTCACGGACCACCCCCCTGTGAAAAAAATAATTGCAAAAAACGTCAATTATTAGAAAACATTTAATTTTATTATTTTAATAGTATGCAAAATTTTTAAAATTAAAATTTTTAATGTGAAGGCTGCTGCTGCTTTTCCTTACTTAACAAATTGAATTGGGGGATGGTTTTCAACAAAGCAAACGGGCATGAAAATATTACATTACGATGTTATGTTTTTATTGTCACAATTGTGGAAAGTCCCGCTTCGCAAAGATACACTGTAGCAAACGGAATTATAGCTGTCATAACTCGCTTTACAAGCAATGGGTAGGCTTCCAAACGTTTTAAAAATTAGGAGTAGTCAGCGGACCCCCAAAATATTTCTCATGGACCCCTTAGGGGTTCATGAACCACAGGTTAAGAAACCCTGCTCTATGGTAAATGGATAATGGTTAGAATCCTTGGCGTCTGACTAGCCATGGGAGGTTTTCGTGATTTTTCTCTAACGCAAATGCGGATTGGGGCTACAGAGTGGTAGTCGTAAACTCAAAATTGGGTAGTATAAAATAATTGGGTAGTATAAATTGGGTAGGGAAAAATTGGTAGTATAAAATAAAATAAAATATATTATTTTCTCTCTCTCTTTATATATATATATATAAACAAGAGGCAATAATCAATAATTTTAAAAGTTGCATTCAAAATATAGTTTTAAAAACATCTAACATTTGCAATTTAGTTGGTTTAAATCCTAAATGTATAGTTTCAGTTTAAAAATAGTTTTTATTGAAGTTGCTTGCTAATTTGTTCACTTACATCTCTTAGCAAGTATGGGAAGATTACTGACCTTTTAAACAGACTCTTTTTTTTATCTTTTCTTTTTTTGAAAAACTAGTTTAGATATAAGAAAAACCTACTACCCTATTACATTAAATTTGTGCATTGAGTCTCCATTTGAAATATAAAATTAAAAAAGAATTTACTTATTAACAACAGTTTAAACATACATATAATAATATAATATTTGTGCAGTTTTAAACAGTTCTTGTAGTTCATTTATGTCGCACTAGAGCTGCACAATGGGCTATTGGCGATGGTCTGGGAAACATCCCTGAGGATGATCCAAAAACAAGCCATCACAATTTTGATCCTCTGCAGAGGAGAACAAGAACATTTTAAACAGAAATTTCCCATGGAATCAAGCTTTAAATGTTTGGTATAGTATTAAGAGACATATAAATAGTAAAAGTCTATAAGTATTAATTAAGACTGGACAAGTCTGAAGTTATTAATTGATAATGGATTCCTTAAGTCTCCAATTATTAAAAGACAATAAAATAAATATTTAAACAAAATATACCATTTCACAATATCCATGAATACAAGGAGTGCCATCTCTAAGTATTTCAGTTGGTTCAATGGGTTTACAGGTTGAATTTTGTGTTGGCCGGCAGCACCTTTTACAAGCATCTTCCTCTGAAAGATATACAAGTATATTTTTTAAAAAAAGAAAAGAGCAGAAACTTTTAGCAAGAACAGAATTAAAACAGGACATAAAACTAAAAGGGATTGCTATGAATTACAATATTGACATTAAATAAATTTACTAATTTCAGTACGTTTCACTTATGAGAAAAGTCCCAACTAACTCTAGCTTTCATTTTANACTGTTGCATATCACATTATGCTGCACACAGCTGCATATTACATAACATTGACATAATGTTAAACTGCATTTCCGTTACAGGACACATTAACATTGAATATGTGTTTGCATTTTACTAGGGCAGTTAGTATTCTCTATAAAATATGGAACACTATAATCCTGTAATTAATAATAATGGTTAGCTTACGGGCAGAGCCCCTATTATTAGTCCTTATTGTCTTTTCTACACTTAAGTATTTTTCTAAGAAAATTTTCAATTAATAAATACACAATCGCATTGTTATTACCAAATTAAAAAATAATTAAGCAGGTCAAAATTTTTTTCAGATTTACAATAAAAAAATAAAATCTAAAATTTTAAAAGTTCAAAAATTATTTTTTTATGTTGCGAAGAGGAAAATATATATATAAAATATTTGTGAAATAATATAATTTATTTATTCTAGTCTCCTGACTCTTATGGATCAATGTTAGAGCTGTCTTGGAAGGGAACAAAAGACATTCCCTTGTCGAATGGCGAGACAAGAAAGTTCCTCAAAGATGGAGATGAAGTGACTCTCACTGGTGATAATTTTGTATTTTAAATTAGTCCTAATATAAGCAGACTGATTATTACTATTATTTTAATATTTCAGCTAGGCATTGTAGGGTTGATTTTCCACTGTCCTGGGCAATTAGGAAAACGTTAGAAGCAATTTGCGTTCTTCTGGTCCTTTTTAATTCGAGAGAAGAATAGATGAATGAGAAAACAAACCAAATCTCCATGAACTTGTATATTATGTTTTGGAGAGGCTTAATTGTTGAATCTTAAAACGGTAATTTTAAGATGAAATGCGGCGAAAAGATTCTAATTTGAACTACGATTGTCGTGCATTGTGTTCGAACTGCTTTAACGCATAATTTTCATTCGATATATTTTTCATACTTTTTACATCATTTTGTATTAATTTAGGCCAAAATAAGTGAAACATGTAATATCTAGCATTTTAATAATTTATGGTTGTAAAATACACCATGTAAAACCATTTTTTTTCTTGCGTTAAAGGTAAAATATGTCAAACAATAATTTGTCAATTTTGCTCTTAATTGCAGTTATTTATCATTTAAATTTTTTTTTTCATTCACAAAATCAATCATTGATAAATTTTCGAATATGAATGAAAGAAGAAAAATTTCAAGCTGATTTTTTTTTTCTTCAATTTTATATTTTAGAAAAGTATAATTCCGGTAATCTAACAGATATTTTAGTAACTAATAGGCTGTTTTTTATAATTAAAAAAATACCAATGTATTTCATCGTAAAAAATGCTAGTATTTTCATCGGCAGCTATTTTAGTGAGTTATCCGATTCTTGATATTTTTGCGATCTTCAGAAAATGTTTTGTTGAGAAAAACATTCCAATTTTGTTGAGAAAACAAACTAATTACGAAGCACGAAATAAATGAGAAAGGAGTCTAAATCTCTGGACCACGCGTAATAACTTTTGATCTAATGATCGGATCTTTACGTTCTAGGACTCTTATCTTAATGGCTCTAGGGAGGGGGGCTTAAATATACTAATTAATAAGTGCAGACGATGTTTTAAGTTATGAAATCAGACACAAAAATGTACTTTCTCTAAATAAACATATCTTTATTTCAACGAATTCAGATTTCTGACCCCCAAAATATAGGGGTAGCCGCAATCGGAGAAATATGATCCCAATAGTTCGGCCAGGCGGCCTGAAGTTTGGACTCCTTATTGTTGATTTTATTTTTTGCGTATTTCGTTGTATCTCGAAAACATTTTAAGCGATTCGAAACATTTTTTCACACAATTATAAAATTCGTTTAACCAAATGTATTTTCATGTAGAAAATAAATATTTATTATTTTTTTTAATAATGGTTGAAAAAATTTTTGAATTGTAAGGTATACAATTTTTTGCATAATTTTAAAGAATGTAATTTTCCACGTTAAAATACAAAATCTGAACAAAATCGGTTTGGAGTGGTTCCTGAGAAATTCAATTTCGAAAAAAGTCTGATATTTAAAATTCGATTTTTCAGGAACTATTCGACCGATTCGGCTGAAATTTTTTATCTTGCAATGTAAAATTATATTGAAAAACATGAAGATCATATCATTAGACCAAAAGTTATTCAGGGTGGTCCGATTTTTTCCCCGCACTGTTATGCATTATATGTTATACATTTAGACGCTTGCATGAAACACTATTTAGTTCCAGTTCTTTCGTGAAGAAACTTTTTAAGAAAATTGCTAAAAATTCTGAAAATTTTAGTTTTTAAGTGTCTACTATTCGATAAATCATTTTACAAAAAGCGTAGTAGCTAGGGTTCATCAGATACTTGACTTTTATTACAATTTTCAGAACATGTCTTGTGACAGACATATGCTTTTGAGTATTTTAGTTGTCGTTTGAGTACTTTGCTATAATCTTATAACTTCTGAAGGATTTACTTTTTTCGTACCTTATTATTTGCTCAACGAAAATTGAATTATTATCCATTTTTCTCGATAGAATTAATTATTATCATTTTGCTTTATTAAACCTCGTTTTTTTTTTCTTCCTCTTCCTTACCCATTCTTCAACTTGTACTCAAAAGACGAGAATAAATGAGGGCGTACCATTTTGTTTTTAAATCTATCATGATATTTTAACTATTGATTGTTACAAATTTTTTATTTATCAGTTTGTATTCAGGATTTTTGTTTTCTTATTTTATGTGCTTCATGCATAAATGATATCTAAGCTTATAAATAATATGTGTGATATTTATATTCATAGGCTATTGTCAAGGTGATGGATATCGTGTTGGGTTTGGCACTTGCTCTGGAAAACTTTTACCTGCCCTGCATCTGTGAACTGTAACTCTATCAGGCATTCAAGAAAGATCAAAAGATTTTTTTGTATTTTTGCATTATTTTTATGAATAAATTTTCTACTGTTTGCAAGCAAGTTTTTGTGTGATTTTAGCCCTAATGATGGTGTTTCTTTTTACACTTACAGGTCTTGTTCAATAATAAAGTGACATTTAGCAATAAGTTTGTGATGCAATACTTCGCTATTTTTTTTCTCAGAAATAATAATATTAAAAAAATAATAATTTCTCTGGAAGTGCAATCGAAAATTTTATACCATTATCATTTCACAATAGTAGTAACAAAACGAATAATTTCAAGCGTTTTGTTGACATTTTTTGTCATTTCATTAAGTTATAAATTTTTAATTATGTAACTAAAACGTGAACTAGAAATTAAAGATATTAATCTTCAGAATGTCTAAAAAGTAAGATTTTTAATTATTGCTTTCAGTTTAGCAAATAGCTTATAAAATATGGTTATTTATGTTAAATTTTTAATATTGTACAATATACACAAATTTTTTAACTAATTATGTATTTTTCATGGTTTTTTTTCTAAAATATCAATGAAGCTAAAAAGAGTTCTAAAGTTGCATTGTTATCCCTTACAGTGCACATTAACATCACATTATCAATGAATAACATTGACATAATGTTATACTGCATTTACGTTACATGACACATTAACATTGTTTGCATTTTACTAGGCAGTTAGTATTTTCTGTAAAATATGTAACATTATAATCCTGTAGTGAATAATAATAATTAGCTTACGGGCAGAGCCCCTTTTATTAGTCCTTATTGTCTTTTCTACAATAAAGCATTTTTCTAAGAAAACCTTCAATTAATAAATACACAATCGCATTGTTATTACCAAATTAAAAAATAATTAAGCAAGTCAAAATTTTTTCAGATTTACAATTTAAAAATAACATTTAAAATTTTAAAAGTTCAAAAATTATTTTTTTATGTTGCGAAGAGGAAAATATGGACCGTCATGGTTTTGGCAATAGAGTGTAGTTGGAGCGCTAAACTTCCTAACATTTTATGCTACATTTTTTTTTTTCAAAGCAAAAATGTAGAAAAGTTTCTTTTTTAATTTTAAACTGTATTTTTATACAAATTTCTCATAATTATGTGTAACCACTGTAAAGTAAAACTTTTCATATTTGTTACGAATTTGCCACTTTTGTTATTGCTTTTTTTTTAGAAAAAGAATTACTGTTTATTATACACGGAATATTACTGTTTTTAGAAAAAATTTTACTATCGCTAATTGAGCAAAACATTTTGCAGAAATAAATAACTAAAAAAATGGAAGCTTTAAAATGAACTAATTTTGCGACAAACAAAAGAAAAATTGCAATTAAAAATGGGATTTTTTCGAAAAAACCGATGGGGTACGGCGTTGTCTTGCGTACCTCCTCCACTACACCTCTGCTTAGTAAATGATCTGCTTTAACTGTTATATCAAAAGTTATGTTCATTTATTACTACGTTTTTACTGACTAGCTTTCCTTTCTGTGAGGTCAGTGATTTTATTGCTAAATAGAATTTATAATCAATAGAAGTTTCGACTTGTATAGAGTGCTCAAAATTTCACTGGTCTGGTACTCTGTGTACCTGCCTGATGTCGTCATAAATTACAAATATCTCCTTCATCGTACAAGCAAATTTTATAACTCACCCAAACTTCGACTACTTTGCTGACGTTAATCCATTTTAGGCCAAGCATAGAAATTCAAAAAAATGTGTTGTTATTTTAATTGAAATATGCATACATTACATTCATTAAGACTCATGAATTACATGAAGAAATTTCATGAATGAAAAATTATATTTTATTTAAAAAATAAAGTGGTACGTATAGGCACCATTCAGTAAATCGATGAACAAACCATTTAGTTGAACGCTTGTTTTTTTTTTAAATATTTTTTTATGATATTTGTGTTTTTATTCTTTTTATTTACTGACTAGCAACTTCAATCCATCATAAAAACATATGATAAATCTCAAAAGGAATAATTATACCTTTTCAAAAAATTTCAATAACCGTTTTAAATTTATAAGTAGTTTAAAAATTTCTCAATAGAAAGTATTTACTCTAATTTAATTACTAATATTTTATGGATGTCATCAGAGCCCTTGACAATAGCAGAAAAATAAAATCAGTGAAAAATATTCGTCGCAGTGTTAATAAAAAAATATTTATTGAAATGATGAATATGCGCACCTTTGACCGAAAATGGGTTAATAAACATCAAACTAGAAATTAAAAAAAATAAAATAAACATTTTAAAAACTATGTTCTTCAAGTGGCAAAAGGAAGAAGAAAATTATTTTTATCGGACATAAAATAAAAAACTTATTAATTGCTTAGTTGATAAACTTTTATTACCATTGAAAGTACCCCTCACGTCTATCAAAAGTAATGAAATAAACACTTAAAAAAAACATAGTTTTTAATATTTTATTATACTGTGAATAAGAAAGAGATTCATTGTATTTAGATACGTAATAAATGACAATCTTACCTTATTCCATTCTTTAGAAGTAGTGGAAAACAGATAAAATTGTCATATTATTTTTCCTTTAAAATCACAAGATGAAAGAATGAGCAATACGCAAGATATGACTCGTCTTTTCTGTTATCCTATCCTTTCTTGAAATATATATAATTTCAGATAAAAAAAAGAGTAATAATGTTCAAATCACCATTTTAACAGCTGCCTTTCTTACTGTGAACAGCTGCATGTATAAATCCAGCAAGTATAAAATTGGGGCTTGTCAACGAGTTTTCATTCATGACATAATTTCTTTTCTTGGCAATAAGCGGAAGTAATAAAATTTTAAGAAACTAAAGTATATATCTCATATACTAAAGAATATATTATTACTTGTATCGACAAAGCGCAAAACGTCACCGATTATTATTTTTAAAATAATTTTTCATCAGCTTATAAATGTAAAGTTTTCTTTCCAAAGTGAAATTTTAGAATATTGGAATATTTTTGGTCTGTTTTAATAAAAAACGCGAACAACAAGATTAAAATGTGATCAGGTTGAATTAAAATTCTGTCTTTCCTACTTAATTCTATTTTTTTTTTTTTTTAATGTGACCGTCATTGTACAGCCGACCCAATTTTTGGGTTTACGACTACTAATGTTCAACTCCGTGGCCTTGTCATTTTGAACCCAATCCGGAAGACAAGGGAACTGCTGGATCAGCTATTGGGAGAAATGTGCATTCCTGGAGGACTTTCTGATGGAACTAACCCGCATTAGCGTTACATGGAGAGGAAGGCCACGAGAACCTCTCACGGTTAGCCTGATGGCAAGGGAACTCTAACATATGATCCGTCTACCACTGAGGATATTTCACGTCAGCACTGTTGTCGGTGCAAGCCTGATGCGGAATTCATATCGTCCAGCCATAGCTGGGATTCGAACCCGGTTCACCTCATTGGAAGACGAACGCTCTATCCCCTGAGCCATCGCGTCTCCTACTGAGTTTTATGTCGAATAATCGAAAATTCCTCTTACTCAAACATAATTTAGTGGAATCAAGTTGTTTTTATAAGAAATCAATATTAAATTTCTTCGTTTGCGATTATTTATATTAGCCAGTCCTCGTTTAATTGGATGAACAGAATCTACCAGTTAAAATAGAATTTCAATTCACTTCAATAGGGATTATCTATTCATTCCCAACTTCAAACTAGATCAGGGGATAGTTTAGGAATTAATCAGAGCTTGTTAGCAGTTACATACTAAATAAGAGTTCGTTTTCCCCCTCTGTGACATATTATTTAAAAAGCGGTATGGGAAGAAATAGAGAAATGTTTAGTCATTGAATTATGTGTCAAAACAGTTTTCAGTGACGAAGATTTCTTCGTAAGGATATAAATAATGTTATAGTGCTGAGTACTAACCTCTAGTCTTGATTTATTTTTTATATAAATTCAAATCTAATTTATATTTTATGACAATAATACCAACAATTCTAATTATAATTATTTCTTAATACTTAAAATGATTTTATTCCCTTTATACCATTGTATTACATACTATTTTTAAGTAAAATTTCAGGAAAAAAAGTATGTAAGGTTCACTAGTGCACTCCTTTTATAATCAATTATTTAAATACAATTAGCTGGAAGCAATAGTATTCCTTTAAAAGGGACTAGATGTTCTGTAATTAGCATTTTTAGCTTTATTTTTAGAATCTTTGCGAAAGATGAAGTCAAAATAACATACTCATAGAAATGACAAATTAATACTTCAGCAATGAAAAAATTTGCCCGGAACATGTTTGATTGCCTCAAGGAAACAGAGAGAGTTGAAAGGCAAAGGAAGTTTTATGCGGAATTCAAACATGCTTTGAGTGATAAACACTCCTTCCTCAATAGTGATTCCTGAGGTTTGGATAACGTTTTTAATGTTTCCTCGCATGAGTATTACTTCGCGGGCCCCAAAGTATTGTTACGATATCATCTTTTTCTTATACTATCCAATACCTTATTAGATAAAACAACAATAAAAATTTTTTTTCTAAAATGATTAATTTTAGAAAAAAATTATTAATCACGAAAAGCAAATTTCTCCCATTACTGGATCCAGGAACTCCCTTGTCTTCTGGATTGGGTTCAAAATTACAAGGCTATGGAGTTGAACATTAGCAGTCGTAAACCCATAAAATTGGGTCGGCTGTACACCGACGGTTATAAAAAAATAATTGTAAGATAAAAATAAGAATATATAAAACACTAAAATTATACGAAATTTGATCTGTTGAAAAATTTATCGATTTTTTTTCTTCGGTAATCAACATAGAACTGAAATATCAAGCGAGTGAGCAGTCGTAGTGATAGATACAATAAGTGTAGTAGTAAAATAGATAGTAAAAGTGATACAATATGAGCCATAAGTCGGGAGAAAAAAAATGACGAGTTTACAGCAAACAGTTCATATAAATGTAATTAAAGTGTTGTTGTTTTTTTTTAAACAGATATTGTTATCAAATTATCTTTACTTATCATCCGCCAGGATAATATATGTCCTTATGTTGAGTGATTCTCACTCGATCTTATCATCATTATTGCTTCAGAGAAAGGAATGTAGTCTTTTCTCAGCTTCTTATTTGTCAAATCTTATTTATTATTAAATTATTAGTATTACTTAATTATAATTAAGATAATTTAGGCTCGATATTACACTTAAATTATGAGAATGAATAGCAAAAAAAGTCGCAACTTTTAATAGAGATAATTTACGAATGTAAGGCTCATTATGTCTATTCCTTCACTATATAATTCCCTCAATATTCAGACACTTCCGCCATCATTGCTGATTTTATGGTTCATTAATAAACCGGGTTTCTTCACACATCAGTTGTATGTGAAAGAAGTGTACTTTCACCTACAACTGTATCTTTTTTTTTTTAAGTAATTTGTTGTTGTATTTCTCAAGGGGCTCTTTATAGTATTAGGAATGTTTAATTAATGCGTCATTCCCCGTTTCATAATAATTAAAACAATCTTCCAAGCTATAAATAGAAATGCACCCATCCCATTCCAGAAATCCTTGGAAGTTTTGAAATTTTGCAGTCATCAAAAACCGGATCGTTACCTGTCGTACGAGAACAAAACAAAATGACTTTTTTCCGGCAGGTGCAGTGATAAACCTACACAAGGCCCAGAGGTTAAATTGGCACCGTCTGCTCGCCACGCCCACACGTCCACCAATCGTATTTAAAAAGTAATCTGCTTCACCCTCCTTATCTTCCCTCCCTCACACATTTCAAGATTTTTCATGTTGTGCTCTACATCGACAAATAATCACTTGCTAAGAAAAATATAAGGTTGCTTCATTTGGCGATTTATCGCCTCTTGAAAAATTTAGCTGGTATAGCTATTGCTAACTTTTAAAATTTAATTATTTTTGCAATTTTCAAGGAATTTTTTTATTGTAAAAGATATTTAGCGTGATACGAAACCATTTCTTACAAACTAAGATATTAGCAACAAAAAAAAGAAAATAGCCGGTAATATTGAGCAAAAAACTTACTTTTGAGGTATTTACAAAATGTGAACTACCTATTTTGAGATAACTATTTAGACAGCATTTTCACTTGAAATAAGATAAATTAAAAAAAAAAATTAAAAAAAAGAAAAAAACTTTAAAAATTACTATTTATATGTTATTGTTTTTTTCCTCCTTACAATATTTTATTATTTTCTACTATTTTTCCTCAAAAAAATTATAATTTGCACAATTTTTTACATAAAAAAAAGTTCAAATTACTCTTTACATCAGTGCTTCCCAAAGTGTGGTATGCGTACCTCCAGGGGTACGGGAACAGTTTAGCGCGGTACGCGTTCTTATGCGAAATATCTTGCAAGAAACGAAAATTTCATAAAATTTTATTTCAAAACGAAGCTAGCCATGAAAATTTACGTCTATTGGCAATTTTTTGCGGAGTTAACAGTTAATAATTAGTGGTGTCAACAGCCAGTCATGATTTTTAACTTTTGTGCAATTTTTTTATACTAAAAAATACATTCATTTTCTTATTAGTGGTACACAGCGTTACGTAAAATTTAGAAAGGGTACACAAAAGCCATAAGCTTTACATGATTTAATCATTGCCATTTACACCATTTTTTAAAAAAAAAAAATTTCAATTAAATAACCATTTATGCCTTGTAACTTTCGATATTATAATCAAAGTATCACGTTTTGAAATTTATATATTTCATATTTGATTTAAAGCTCTCACTTTGATGCTCACTTTTCACAGAAGATGCCATACGGCGGAAAAAAAATTTCCTACGTTACTGATTTAAAATTTAAAGTGTAGAAAAAGTGATTTCAGGCCAACTTAGAGTAAGCCGTGAAACTTCAAGTGCAGCAAAATAAATTTCAAAGTATACAAATGAAAATAAGTTATGAGAGGATAACTTAGGAATACGCGACGGAGAAGTTTTCTTCTAATAATTTGTTTTCATTTTAATATTTTGAAATATATTTTTTTTCAGCCACTGAAATTTCATGACTTCTTGCCTGAATTACTTTTTCTTTCTTTTAAAATTCAAATTAGTAATGAGGGAGAAAGAGTATTTGCGACGAAAACTTGCCTGAACTTACTTTTTCTTTCCTTTTAATTTCAAATTAGTAATGATGGAGAAAGAGTATTTGCGACGAAAACTTGCCTGAACTTACTTTTTCTTTTTTTTAAAATTTCAAATTAGTAATGATGGAGAAAGAGTATTTGTGATGAAAACTTGCCTGAACTTACTTTTTCTTTCTTTTAAATTTCAAATTAGTAATGATGGAGAAAGTGTATTTGTGACGAAAACTTGCCTGAACTTACTTTTTCTTTCTTTCATTTCTTTTTCTTTAAACTTCAAGTTAGTAATGATGGAGAAAGAGTATTTGCGACCAAAACTTGTCTGAACTTACTTTTTCTTTCCTTTAAATTTCAAATTAGTAATGAAAGAGAAAGAAAATTTGTGACGAAAATTTTCTCCCGCGGTATGGTGTCCTCTTAAGTAGGAATTTGAAACGATTATTAATAGAAACCATTAGAAAATTTGGACTCATGATTTCCATTTCCAATTCCAGACATCACTTTTCTCTTAAATGTGATAAGGAAATCTGTGA